GTTGGAGAAGGATGTCATGCTGGGTAGGGTGGAGGGTCAGAGAAAAAGAGGAAGACCCCCAACGAGATGGATCGGCCAGGTAGCATCATTGATGGCGAGAAGTGTGGCATTAGCGGTAGTGAGGTTGGCCCAGGATCGGACATTGTTTTGTTCTGCTGTGTATGGGGTCGCTATGAGTCGGTTCTGACTTGATGGCACCAGACAACAACAACAACAACAACAGAATGCTGGTTTGTCCCGTCTTAAGCGGTAACCTTTGGTAAATTGGCTAAGGAGATATCTTCCAGGTTTCTCTACTGTAAATTTACTCCTTTTTTGTTTGTTATTAAGAGATTTGTGAGAAGACACATTTGAAGCTCTGTAAATATCCTTTTTTTTAAAATCAAGCCTTCACCCACTTGCTTTGATGTCCTCTGATGATTCTTGCCTGCTGAACCAATCAATACTGTGATAGTTGCTAAATGCTTGTTTTTTAATTCCCTTTTCCCTCTATACTTTCTACTATCAGCAAAAGTTTTCTTTTCTGTCTGTCTTCTCTGTTAGTCATCAGTATGGATGTATTGATTTTTACTTTGTTATACAGATTATAGTTTATTGCTATTTATCTTGTCAAATTGTCCCATATATGACCAATGGGAGCCAATATAACTGGGAGCTGCTATGGAGTATGATTTCCTCATTCATTCTAGGATAGGAGGGAGCCCTGGTAGTGCGATTATTAAGTGCTTGGTGACTAATTGAAATGTCAGTGGTTCAAGCCTGCCAGTGATTCTATAGGTAATCTTGACAGATAGGGAAAATCAATGTACTCTGACAGTCTGCTTCTACAAAGATGGTAGCCTAGGAAACGCTATCTTCTCTAGGGTGGCTGAGTCAGAATGGACTCCAAGGTATACAACAACAGCAGGATTGGAGGGAGGAGATTGTTGATGTGTAAATGAGTGTCTCCCTTGCTCTCAGTTGGGTTGGCCACCTTTGCTTTATGTTACTTTGAGATTTATTTAAGTGTTTGCTGTGTGTTTCCCTTTCTTTTACATGGGTTCAAATAGAAGTAACCACAGGACCAATATGTTTTATTTCTCTTGAAATAAATTTAGTTTGTGTCTGTGTGTGTCCTTGTCATAATATTTTAATCTTTTTTCTTACTGTAAGATTATGATTGCATTAAATATTACTGTATCTGAACACATTGGAATGTCAAGAATGTTCTGATTATATTCAAAACTATTTTCTTTTTGCCACGTTGTTCTATTGCATATTTTAGGTGCTCCAAACTGAACACACTTGATATTATTTAGCTAATGTTTTGTTTATCTTCTTGCATAAGAACTGTACAAATAAATTATAACACAGAATTTTACCTTGGGTAGGAGCAGTCACAGAAACATGAACTCCTTGTTGATGAAGACTTCTGTGGGAGTTATTTCAAGAATATTGATTGTTGGACAACCAAAAATGAAAACTTAGAATGTAACAGTGATTTACAGGTGTTTCCATCATTGACTGTGAGTATCTGCCTTACCATCTTAAAACAGAGTTTATTTTATTCCCAGTGAATACAAATCAATGTAAATTCTGTTTCGTCACTATTCCGATAAAGAATGGTGTCTACTTTTTTAAAATCTGAGGTTAATTTAGTTTGTGTCTCTGTGTATAATAGTATATAGTAAGACAATGGCACCATTGTTCCCTCTTCTTATACCCCTTCAGATTCCTTGCAAGAGTTTTTCTACAATCTACTGTCGCAGCGTCATCTCTCAGTCTCTTTTCTGTCTACCCACTCCAGTCAGTCTTTTGCCCCCTCCATTCCAACACTTCCACTCTAGTCAAGATCCCCAGTAACCATGTTGTTAATCCAGTGGTCTGGTCTCAGTTCTCACCTTGCTTGACTTATGAACATTTAACACAACTGAAGTCTTTCTTTCTTTCTGCACTTTCTCAACTTGGCTTCCAGTACTCCATTTATCTTCTGGTTTCCCCACTTGCTTTCTGGTTGTTCCTTCGTCTTCTTTCTTGTTGGGACTGCCTCTTATTCCTATGTTGTAGGGCTTCACTGCCCAGCTCATGGTCTTCTTTTCTATTTTTACTTCTTCCTTTGGTCATCTCATCCAGTCACATTGCTTTAAATACTATCTGTATGCTGTTGGCTTCTAAATTTGTATCTCCCGCCTAGACTTACTTATCCAACTAAGTACAGTTGGATTACTTAACAGACATCTAAAAGTCAACAAACGTGTCCAGGGTAGAATTTCTGATCTTCTCTAAGCCTGCTTCATGTAGAACCTTTCCCATTTTGGTTGATGGTAATTCTTTTCTTACACTTCTTCAGGCTAAAAACTTCAAAGTTATCCTTGACACCATTCTGTTTTCTCATACTCAGATCTACAGGAAATTCTTTTGATTTTATTGCCAAAATAAATCCAGATTTTGAATGTGTCTCACTGCCTCCAACTTGTTCTAAGCCATTGCTGTCTCTTGCCTTGATTAAAATGTTGTTGGTATTAAGTGCAGTCAAGTCAGTTCCAAGTAACAGTGACTCTGTATCGGGTTTCTGAGGAGGGACTAATAAATTTGAACTGTTAACCTTGCCATTCAAACCAACCTTTTGGTACAGTGCTTATCCTACAGCACCACACGAGGAATCCTTGCTCTTATCTTTCAATCTCATTGAGCTCTTTTATTCTCCTCAAACATTCTAGGTACACTCTTGTTTTTTCTACACTCTTGCCTTAGAGTCTTTGAACAACGTATTCCCACCTGGAATGCTCTTCTCCCAGAGATTTGCTTGAGAACTCTTTCATCAAGTCATTTATTCAGATCTTGTTTTCTCAACAAGGCCTCCTCTGACCTTTAACTCTTTTGTTGTTCTGTCTGTTCATTTTTGCTCCAGAATTGACTATTTTAATAATTGTAATTTTAAATTATGTTTTGATATCCAAAGGGCAAGCACCCTTATTATTTGCATTCAGAAATGGTTTATTATTATTCTTAAAGAACATAAATATGGACTTTTTTATTATGTTAAAAAATCCTTTAGAATTCAAATAGGAATTGCATTAGTTTATGTCATAATAATGGAGAGGACCAATATCTTCAAAACATCAAGTCATCCCACCCAGGAAAATGATACATCTATTTAATTTTGTTTCTCAGTAATATTTTTTAGTTGTCTTTGTAAATGGTTTGTGTATTTTTATTAAGTTCATGTTTGCCTGCTCTATTCAATGATCAATTGCCAGCATTAAAAAAAAAAAAATAGAACTAAACATTTAGGTGCCAGGATTATCTTAGTTGTCTTAATAATATCAAATAGTTTAACCACAGTTTAAGAGAAAACCTTTATACCTTTATCAGAATGACTAAATCATAGTACTCCTATACACAAAAGACTGGTTATTAAAACTTACATAGAAGGCTTGTAAAGACTTTAAGGATTCTTAATGACATGTTAACAGAAAAAAAAAAAAAGCTATAAAATAGTAGGCTTTGTTTGCACTCATTTTGAATTACAGTTAGAAAACAGCATGGATGGTTACATTCTAAAATGTTAATAGCAATCATTCCTGAGTATGAGGTTATGGGTCATTTGAATTTATCTTTGTTTGCTGTAAATTCTGAAGTGAACAACAGATTTTTAAAGGTTTTCTTAGTTTTTATTTTTTAAACATTCTTATTGTGAATTGAGTGATAGTTCACATGAGAGAACATGAGTTTTAAACTCATCATATTTATTTCTTTGCAATAATTACAATCCCCTGCATGCTTCATCATTCAAACAGCCAAAGGGCGCCCCTGGCTGCCAGCACACATCTCCTCTCTCTTCATAAGTCTAGAGTCTTCAGCTGCTCCGTCTCGCCGCATCTTCATCTCTAGCATCACTGCTTCTCTGGGTAGGGTCCCACACTCTCCTCCAACTCTTCTCCCTTGATGGTCCTAGGTTCCTGCACCCAGGGACTATAAGATCAAACACTCACCCCTTTTTGCTACAAAAGCTCTAAAAGGTGTTCTTTATTTTTCAAAAAAAAAAGTGTAATAAATATCCTGTAGTAGTTGTCTAGTGCTGCTATAACAGAAACACCACAAGGATGGCTTAAACAAACAAATCTATTTATTCTCTCACATTTTGAGGCAGCTCTAGGGGAAGGCTTTTTCTTTCTTTGTTGGCTCTTTCAAGGGAAATGACCTTGTCTCCTTTCAGTGCCTGTAGGCCCAGCATCCCTTGCAGGTCTCTGTGCATCTTGGCATCAATCTTCCCCTGGATCCAGGAGCTTGACAGTGCAGGACCCCAAATTCATAGCATGCACTCTAATTTTGGCTCTTTTTTCTTGGTGATAATAGGTCACTCTGTCTGATCAATTCTTTCTCTTTTTAGCTCTTGTATAAGAGAAAAAATGCTGCAGGCCACACCTCTGGGCAACTCTTTTACAGTCAGGTTGTGATGGGGTGAAGGGTATTGCAGCCCACTCTTAATCCTCTTATTGGTTTATCACATCAGATCACCTCATGGTGAATCCTCATAGCACTGCCATTTTGTAATTCTTTATAACTGCCAGAAGTCCTGGTGTGGCGCTATTGTGGCAGGGTCAGCACTGCACTGCTAACTATAAGGTCAGTGGTTCAAACCCACCAGCCATTCCTCAGAAACCCTAAACAGGGTTGCTATGAGTCAGAACTGACTCGATGTTGCTTACCAACAATAACAACTTAACTGCCAAAACATGAGAATCATGGCCCAGCCAAGTTGACAAATATTTGGGGAGGACACAATTCAGTCTATGACTTGTATAGGAGAGAGTCCTACCATAAATGTGCAGCTAAATGAATTTCAAAAACTGGCCACCCATGTGTAAATGCCACCCAGCTGAAGAGGGTATGTTTGTGCTCATGCGCCCTTTGACTCCCCAGCGCCCTCTCCACCAACAGTCACCATGATCTTCATTAAGGAAGTAAACAGAATCTTGTTACTTATGTTCAGGATGCAGTAAGATTTGGTCTCTCATAATCAGCTTTTAAGTCTTTTATCCTTAGCACATGTTTCTGCTTAATTATTAAAATTATTTTCCCTATAGAATTGCAACAGCATAAATTGGAATTATTTTACTTTTTTTTTCTCCCCAGAATAAAGAGCTAATGCCAAATATCAAAAATGTTTCAAACCACGAAGGACCAACGGTAAGAAGTCATTTTATATGACTTTACATCAAATACACTAATTATATTAGGTCTGAAAAAAACATGATGGACAGATAATTTGTCAAGGGACATAATGTAATGTTAACAGAATTGGGAACGCAACAAAGAATATTGTTTTAAACAGCATATTTTCTTAATGTATCTCTATGAATTTTGTAAATACTGGTGCTGGCTTTCTTTTAAAAGTCTCTTAAAGATTATAATTTAAAATGAAACGTAATACTTTTTTTTTCTTTAAAAATAAAATTGCATTTCCAGATGCCCACAAGGAGATACCAAAATTTTTGCTGTTAGGGAATTAGTAGAAGTCAGAAGATTGAATAAGAAGTCGAGAGGGTCACAGGGAATTATGTATAGAGACTGACAGCAGTTTAAGAGAAGCTAGTGTTTGCTTAGGTTACGAATCGGGCTGCGAACCTTAAGGTCAGCGGTTCGAAACTACCAGCTGCTCCGCGGGAGAAAGATGAGGCTTTCTACTCCCGTAAAGATTTACACCCTCGGAAACCGTATACAGGGTCGCTATGGGTCGGAACCGACTCGATGGCACATAACAACAACAACAGTGTTTGCTTAAGGAGTCTTGCTGGAGTAGTGGTTAAGCAATCAGCTGCTAACCAGAAGGTCGGTGGTTTGATCCCACCAACAGCTCTGTGGGAGAACAATATGGTTCCATAGAGTTGACAGCTTTGGAGACCCTCTGGGGCAGGTCCACTCTGTCCTGTAGGGTCGTTATGAGTGGGGATTGACTGGACAGCAGCACACAACAGCAACAACACTTGCTTTGTATTGTATTGTGGTTCTTCCCATTTCCTGTTTTCTTCAGCTGTCTTAGAGGGAACTCTTGATAGTGGAAAGGCATTTGTCCTGCAGTGGCTAGGACGGACTCTATGATCTAGAGATTCTCTGACTGGTAGAAAAGTTAAGAAATGAAAGAACTGAAAGGAAATGTTTAGGAAGGAGGAATGTAGAAAGTTCTGGTCCAAGTATGCAAGTATGTGGGGGAATTAGAGAGTGCATAGACATTATGCTGAGTAAATAATCCAAGAAGCTGGGTTCTATGAAGAAAAACGGGGCATCAGGATAGGAGGAAGACTCATTAACAACCTGCAATATGCAGATGATATGTCCTTGCTTTCTGAAAGTGAAGAGAATTTAAAATACTTACTGATGAATATCAAAGACCATAACCTTTGATATGGATTACCTCTCAATGTGAAGAAAACAGAAATCCTCACCACTGGACCAATAAACAACATTCTTATCAACAGAGAAAAAATTGAAGTTGTCAAGGACTTCATTCTTCTTGGATTAACTATCAACACTCATGGAAGCAGCAGTTAAGAAATCTAATGACATACTGCATTAGGCAAATCTGCTGTACAAGACCTCTTTAAAGTGTTGAAGAGCAAAGATGTCAGCTTGAGGTCTAAGGTGTGCTTGAACAAAGCCATGGTATTTTTAATAACCTCATATGCATGTGAAAGCTGGACAAGTGAATAAGGAAGACCATAGAAGAATTGACACATTTGAGTTATGGTGTTGGAGGAGAGAATATTAAAAGTACCATGGGCTGCCAAAGGAACCAACAGATCTGTTTTGGAAGAAGTGCAGCCAGAGTGCTCCTTGGAGGCCAGGATGGCCAAACTTGGTGTCTCATACTTCAGACATATTGTTAGGAGGGAACAGCCTCTGGAGAAGGATATCATGTTTGGTAAGGTGGAGGGTCAGAAAAAAAAGAGGAAGACCCCAAGCAAGATGGATTGGCAAAGTGACAGCATCAGTGGGCTCAAGTGTGGCAACAATTTTGAGGTTGGCCTAGGACCAGGCAGTGTTTTGTTCTGTTGTGTGTAGCGTCACAAAGAGTTGGTACCAACTCTATGGCACCTAAGAAAAAGAACAACATAGGCATTACAGTGAGCAGTGGTATTCCTCCCCCACCTTAGGAGTTTGAATCACCCAGCTCACTTTGAATACGTGTACTTCATCTCAGTTGTTTCTCACAGTGTTATCTGCCTTCTTCCTCCCCCAACTCAATATTTAAGAGCACATATGTAATTAAAACTGGAAGCTTGATAACATTAGAATAAAAATATGAGATAGTATTAGAAACAAAAATTTGAATAGTATTATTAAATACTGTGTAGAAGAGTAATATTTGGTTAATGAGGGGCCTCATTAATATGTATAAATGTAATAGAAAAACATTAAAATATGTTACAAGCTGTTTTCTTCTTCTGCCCTTCTCAGAGAGGAAGGATGCTGGTGGAAAGTTAGTCCGATGGCTGTCCTTTCCTTGCCTCCTGCTCCATTTTTTCTTTTTCTTTTTAAGCAAGCACAGTTCAATCATTCAGACTTGTTTTAAAATATGACAAGCAATTGTTTATTATATCTTAAGTGGCAATTAAAAAATATATAACATTAAGGCTGTTTTCCTCTATTTTAGGATGTAATTGCCCGAACACAGAGAGATGGGTTTCATATCTTTATTGTATCTATTAAAACGGAGAAAACAGATGCAAACTGGAATTTGAATGGTATAGTTAAACTGCATACGTGTGTATTGTTTCCATTTACTTTATTCTGTATTTAGCTGTTGGCCTGAATCCACATACTGTGTTAAAAACACAGGCAAAAATGAATTTCAGTTATTTAAACTTAACATTTTGGGAACTTAAAGCATTATGCTTGTCTTAATTCTAGTATTTTTTTAACATGTACTGAAATTTTTATTTTGTTAATTTGAGATAAAATTTAAAAACCTCATACTTCAAAACCAAATCAAACTCAATGCCGTGGAGTCGGTTCTGACTCATAGCGACCCTGTCTAGGGTTCTGAGGCTGTCCATCTTTATAGGAGCAGAAAGGCTCCGCTTTCTCCTGTAGAGTGGCTGGTGAGTTTGAACTGCCAGTCTTGAAATTAACAGTCCAGTGTTTATCCTGTAGCTCCACCTGGGCTCCTTTTATACTTCATGTTGTTGTTGTTAAGTACTGTGGAGTTGGTTCAGACTCATAGCGATCCCGTATAAGGTTTCCAAGGAGAAGCTAGTAAGTTTGAACTGCTAGCCTTATGGTTCAAACCGACCTTGCGATCCCGTGCTTTATCCCACAATACCACACCAAGACTCTTTCATACTTCATGTTGTTGTTGTTGTTAAGTCCTGTAGAGTTGGTTCTGACTCGTAAAGACCCTGTATAGGGTTTCTGAGGAGCAACTAGTGAGTTTGAACTGCCAACCTTGCAATTCAAACTGACCTAGCAGTCCAGTGCTTATCCTACAGTGCCTCACAATATAAAATGCGCCATCCTTTTTGACTTTAGTTTTTTAACATACAGAAATGAGTTCCAAAAGTTCATGTAAAAATAGAATTAAAAGGTAATGGAACTTTTCCACGAACGTTTTGAAGCCCCTTGTTTTTGAAGTAGATTATATTTATTTCATGAAAATTGGCATCATTGAGACTTTAAAATATTTGTCTTTGAAAACTATTATTTCAAAGAGCCTGCCTACATCCCAGGAGTAGAAGTGCTATGTCCACCAACTAAGGTCCCCTCTGATATCTCCCCTGCACCACCCTCACTTCATGATGCTGAACCCTCTGGGTCTGGTTACGAGAAGTTCCGTAGTGCCTAGTGCAGGAGTCAGCTCTCAGTAAGCTCTTTTCAAGGGAATGAACACTTTCATGTGCCCTCTAATTGCTTTGACTGATGTGTTCCAGAGTGGGCGTTACCTTGGCAAACACCACCAAGCAGCATGTGCCCGTCCTGAGCATTTGCATATTGCTCCGATTCATCCACTGTGGAGAGGCTGAAAACAATGAGGCCACCTGGGCATTGTTGCTGAGGAGCCCTGGGCCTGGGCAGGGGAGGTGGTCTCAGGGCACCTGAGGCTGGGAAGGGATGGCATGGGTCAAACTATGCCATATAGAGGGGAGCAGTGAGCTTGGCATCATTTACTTACCTAGCCTGCACCTCCTTTCTACCATGCTGCCTTTTCCCAACACCCACCCACTGCCATTGACTCATGTGACCCTGTAGGACAAAAACTGTCAATCTTTATGGGAGCAGACTGCCACATCTGTCTCCAGTGGAGTGGCAGGTGGATTTGAACTGCTAACCTTGTGATTAGAAATCCAATGCTTAATACATGGTGCCACTAGGACTCTGTTCTCCCAACACCAGCAGGCAGTTTTTAAGTGCCTGCTACTTAGTAATTGAGCCCTGGTATGGTGTAGGATAAGCACTGGACTGCTAATCGCAAGTTTGGCAGTTCAAACCCAGCAGCTGCTCTCGTAACCCTGTACAGGGTTGCTAGGGGTTGAAATCAGCGCAGTGGCACACAGCAGTAACTGGAGCAGTTGCTGAACCCTGCACGTCCTGCCTGCACTTGGCACTCAGTTCATCATTGCTCCTAACCTCTGTGCGTGAGCTCTGTAATGTATCCCAAGGTACACCGAGGAAGACAAAGTCCTCAGGAAGGCCTGTGAACCCAAAGGGGTCAGTCTAAGGTCTAGGTTGGTAGTCAATACTGCTTTGCTTTTAGTGTGAGATCAGATTTGGCCCAGGATTTTACAACAGCACATACACCAGTGAAGGTATCTTGGTAAATGATATAATCAATTAATTTGTAATTATTCAATACCTTGTGTGTCTTAGGTAAAAACTCTGCATTTATGGCTTTGGCTTTATATTGCCGTCTCTTACATGTGAGCTTACATGTAGCTTACATGTAAAAACCTAAGACCGATTGTTATTCACCTTTTCCTTTCTTCCGCACCCTACCTTCCCTTCCCTAGTTTCTCTTTCTATGATGGGGCCTCATGGATATATCTCTGCATCAGACTGGCCGCTGATGATTGTGAGTATTTTTCACTGTTTTTTTCTTTTGTTAAGATGAAATTTGTATCCTAATTAGAAAATTCTTAAATTTTAAGATCTTGGTAGTGATAATCCCTTAATAAAGAATGCTTTGATAAATATACCTTCTATCCCTGGTTCCATGGGTAAAATGAAGACACAGATGATTGACTATAGAAACAGCAGCTTTTAGATGCTCAAGAGCCTTCACTGATCAAAATTGCTTCTCTTCCCACAGTTCTACATGGTGATGTGTATTATTTATATTTTATATGGTGTACTCTGGCTGATGTGGTCAGCCTGTTACTGGAAAGATATATTAAGGATCCAGTTCTGGATTGCAGCTGTTATTTTCCTGGGAATGCTTGAAAAAGCAGTATTTTATTCTGAATACCAAAACATCAACAGCACTGGACTGTCAAGTAAGTTGTGACTGTCTTGGTAAGTACAGTATGAGCCAAGAGGTATAGCAGAAGGGATTTGAGTATAGCCATATTAAATGAGAGTCCTTCAAAACATTCGTGGAAAAATGGAATTGAAAGACCATGGAATTTTTCCACAAACCTTTTGAAACCCAGTTGTAGATGAAGAAGAGGGAAGCCAAGAAGAGAATGTCAGACAAGGAATCTGATCTGGACTAACATGAAGGCATCTCTTCATTTTCTACCTTCCGTTTTGCTAACTTTCCCTCACCATCTTCCTGGGGAAAGAAAATTCCTATTCACCAAGGTTCAGCTATCTAGTGTGTGGATTCACACAATAGAGTTCTGGGCTGGAGAATGTCAGGTACTGCCAAACCTATTACATCTCTCTGCCCCCCAGCTCCCCCATCTATTTTTTTCTTATTTCCTCTGCTAAAAAAGAAAAGAAATTTTGTCTCGGGATATAATCCACGGCACAAGGATGCTGGTGTACACAGCACTGTGTTCTTGTGTCTTCCTAAGCCTTTCTTTGGGGACCAGTGGAGGCCTCATCCCAGTTTGCACACAGTAAAATGTGTGATGTAGGGAACACCCTCAGATGTATACCCCAAGCTTCTAGAAAGTGGCTTTCAAAAAGCCAGAAAAACAAAGGTCCAATTCCATTGCTGAACCGTTTAGAAGGTGAAATAGCCCCAAGCAGTTGAATGCTCTGGAGAAGGTGCTTCTGAGTGATGAGTTCCAAATGACCTTGGTACCCATTTTCAAATCACATGGCTCTGTCCAGCTGTAAGCAGGTTAAGCATGGGCTTACTTATACTGATTTACTGATCTGTAAGAAATAGTTTCACATTTTTTTCACCACACCAAAGACTCTGCTTCTAGGTATGGTTCTGGTATGTGTCTCTCTTCCACCCCTTAGCACCTGCCTACAGAATCAAAGCCTCTTATAATCTCTGACAGACACAGAGTACCCATGTGGTGAAAAGCATGTGAAATTGTTCATTAAAGATTAGTTGTTAAGTACCTGGAGTTGGTTTAGTGTTATAGCAACCTTGTGTAGGGTTACTGAAGCTGTAAATCTTTGCGGGAGCAGAAAGCCTCATCATTCTCCTGAGGAGCACAAGTAAGCCCTTGCTTACACCTTGCATCTTGGGCAGCCCTTCCTGGTCATGTCTGCTACTTGCTGTAAGTGTCGTGTTGTTAGGTGCCATCAAATCGGTCTGAGTCACAGTGACCCTGTGCACTAACAGCAGAAGGAAATACTGCCTGGTCGTGCACCATGCTCACAAGCATTTTGTTTGAGCCCCTTGTTACTGTCGCTGTGTGCTTCCAACTTGAGGGTCTTGTCTTCTGGCACTGTATCTGACAGTGTTTTGCTATTCTTAAGGTTTTCAGTGGCTAACCATTCAGAAGTGGCCCACCTCTCTGTCATTCTAGTCTGTCTTGATCTGGAAGCTTTGTTGAAACCTGTCTACCATGGGTGACCCTCCTGGTATTTTTTAAAATACTGGTGGCATAGCTTCCAGCATCACAGCGACATGCAAGTCACCACAGTACAGCAGACTGACGGAGGAGTGGTGACTGTAAAGCACAGCAGGAAAGGAAAACGTAGGTTGGAATACAGATGAAACAAGATTGGCATAATTTTTTTTTGTAACCTGTAATTGCTAGCTTATACAGTGTGAACTTTTAAAAAATATTTTATATTGTGGTTCAGGTGGAAGTTTACAAAGCAAATTAGTTTCTCATTTAGTAATTTATACACAGATTGCTCCAGGACATTGGTTGCAGTCCCCACAATATGTCTGTATGCCCCCTTTTCTACTCGGATTCCTCCTTTACATTTGCACAATTTTCTGCCCCTACCTGCTTTAACTTTGCTTTTGCTCACATACAGCCCTTTGGTTCTCATATAACTGCTTTGAGGAGCATATTCCTTCCAGGTATTGCTGTTACAGTGCTGTTAAGTGTCGTCTCGATTTGGTTCTGACTCATAGAGAGCCTGCATAGGGTTTCCTAGGAGTGACTAGTGAGCTTGAACCACTGACTTTGTGTTCCAAATCAATCTGCGGTCCAGTGCATTAACCCACAGCACCACCCCAGGTCTCGGTGTCATTTTATAGGTCAGCCTCTTATGTGGCTAGAAGGTGAGACCTAGGACCATCCTCTTGGGGGTTCCACTAGTCTCTATGAAACCAGTAATTCTGGCCTTTTTTTATGAATATGGATTTTGTTCTACCTTTCTCTTCCCCTCTATCTGGGACCTTCTGTTGTGATCCCAGTCAGAGGATTAGTGGTGGTAGTTGGACAGCATCTAATTCTTCTGGTCTCAGGGTAGTGGAGGCTGTGGTCCATGGGGTCCATTAGTCCTTTGGCTAATTTTTTCCTTGAGTCTTTGGTTTTCTTTACTCTTATTTGCTTCAGAGAGAGACCAGTTATTGTAATTTAGATGGCCACATGCAAGCATATAAGACCCCCAGTCACTACTCACCGAAGTAGGATGCAGGACGTTGTCTTTATGGACTGTTATGCCAAATGATCTAGATGTCCTCTGAGACATCGGGTCTCTAGCCTGTAAGTCCAGTATTACCTTCGTTCCCGGAGGTGTTTGATTATGGGTATGAGGTCTTCATGCCTGTGCACTCCATTACATATGTGGACATATTTGCAGCGTGTTCAGACAGATGGTATATAGGAATATTCACTGCCAACCCTACCTGTGCACACAGGAAGATGGACGTAAGGTTGATAATTATTGAAGCTGCATGACAGGTACACAGGAGCTCATCATGCGTTTTCTCGTATGTTGGGAATATCTGAAATCTTCCCAACTATAAAAGGGCATATATAAGAGAATAATAAAGAAAAGCCAAACAGCCAAGGATGCATGTGAGAGGTATAACAAGTTTTCGTAGGTTTTCAGTGCTGTAAAACAGATAAGGAAGGAAGGAAGGATAGGTCTGCTGCTTATGACGAAGGATGACTGCAGTCATGAATGGTGGCGAAGGTAGTTCAGCTCCTATCCTGTTAGTTGTGTGAGTTTTGGGGAGGCAAAGCAACAGCTTGGGCACCATGAATGGAGGAGAACCATCCTCAGGGAATTCAAGGTCTGTCTCTGAGATGGCGCCAAACGGGCATGCAGCAGACACCCTGGACCACGGTCAGTGTCTTTGAATAGCCCTGTTGAATGAGAGGCATGTCAGAAGACTGGACCTGTTGTTTCTGATTTTACCACGTGGGAATTCTATAACACAGGTTGTCTTGTTCTTGGAAGGATAGAATTTAGAAAAATCATCGAAGGCATGGGCATCAGTGATTATTAGGACCCAATATGGATAAAATGAGAATAAGTCAGCTAAAGGCTGGTAGAACTCCTGAGGCTAGGATTCTTAGTCACCCTTCCAGTCTGCAAATGAACTTTAACGCCGGTGACTCAGTTTTCAGCAAAACAGTACACAGTTCTATAAGAGGAACAGTAACACTAGTGAGGTATGTGCTCTTTAGAAAAATCAGCCATTTAGCATCAAGTTATTTTACCCAAGGATAAAGTTCAGAAAAGTTCAGAAATCAGGAAGAATGGAAACAGAAAGCACAGGGATAAGTGCTGCTGCCCTGTGAGGCTTCCAGTCTGTGCCGTGAAACAAACCGGTCTGTTCTGTAAACCTTCACTCAATTCACAATAAAGAAACTTTATAAAGAAAACCGAAGGTCATATTAAATTAGCTTCTTTGGGAGCTACACTCAACCAAAAATGAAACAAAAATCTTCACATCTGGACCAGTAAGCACAGTCCTGACAAAGAAAAGTTTGAAGTTATCAAAGATTTCATTTTGCTTGAATCTACAGGCAACACCCATGAAAGCAGCAGTCAAGAAATCAATGATGTATCACATTGGGAAAATCTGTGAAAGACCTTGCAAGTGCTAAAAAACAAAGATGTTAATTTGAGAACTAAAGTTCATCATCTTACCCAACAAGCCATGGTGTTTTCATTTATCTCATATGCATGTGAAAACCAGACAATGAATAAGGAAGACTGAAGAAGAATGGATGTATTTGAGTTATGGCGTTGGTGAAGAATACTGAATGTGTCATTTGACTGCCAGAAGAATAAACATTTGTCTTGGAAGAAGTACAACCAGAGTGCTCTTTAGAAGCAAGGATGGTGAGACTTCATTTCAAACACTTAGGTCCTGTTATCAGGAGGGACCAATCGCTGGAGAAGGACAGCATGGTTGGTAAAGTAGAAGGTCAGTGAAAAAGAGGAAGACTTAGATGAATTGACACACTTGTTGCGACAGCGGACTTGAACAGGCACAGGTGTGAGGATGGCACAGGCCTGGGCAGTGTGTAGTTCAGTTGTAAATTGGGTCGCTGAAAGCTATTCAGCACCCAACCACAAGATTGGCAGTTGAGAAAATGTAGTAAACTTAGTGTATCTGGACTTCTAAGCACTTGACTTGGTTTCTTGTGGATAGGTGGAGAAATATGAGCCGAAAACTGGTTGTACTATCATATATGAGTGTCTATGTAGATAATCACTTGTTAGTCTTGTCAGTGAGGCCCTTAGGTGGTGCAAAGATTCCACGTCCTTGGAACAGATGTGCTCAGTAACACATGGGATCGTGGTTTTGACTTTGTCAGTCTCGAGCTGTTGCTGTCCAGTGTGATAGCCACAAACCAGGGCTGGCTATTTAAATGTAAATTAAGCAAACTGTAAGTTAAGTAAAATTAAAAATTCAGTCACACTGCCGTATTTCAAGCACTCAGTAGCCACATGTGACTAGTGGTTACTGTGGTTATTGGACAGCACATATCCGGAACATTTTGTCACGGAGAGTGCTGCTGGGCAGTGTTGGTCTGGAGCAGTGGTTCTTATCCCTGACTGCACATTAGCATCACATGACGAACTCGTAAAACTCTCCAGTGGCTGTGGATTGTGATTGGAATAGACCTAGAACTTGTGAGAACTTCCCAGGTGATTCTAATATATGCCTAGGATTGAGCGCCATTGGACTGGAAGGAGCTTTTAAATGGTGTCTTTCACAGATGTTAGACTTTGTTGATTTTTCAAATTCTTGTTGATTCATCTACTTTTATTGTATACACATGTGTATGTAGACGGCAGTCTTGGTTACATAGTAGGTTATGCGTTAGGCTGCTAACTGCAAGGTCAGCAGTTGGAATCCACCAGCCAGTCCACAGGAGAAGGTTTTCTGTTCCCATAAAGATTTACAGCCTTGGAAACCTTATATAGGGCCGCTGTAAGTCAGACAATGGCAGTGGCTTGGGGTATATATAGAGACCTCCAGATGTACATAGAGTGAATGATTTTCTCTTTTCCCTCCTCAGCTCAAAGCTTATTAATATTTGCAGAGTTGATTTCTGCGGTTAAGAGGACATTGGCTCGTCTCCTTGTCATCATTGTGAGCCTAGGTTATGGCATTGTGAAGTAAGTATACGTGAATTGAAAAGGCACTGACTGAGTCTTCGGTCTTGTGATTCGATCCATCTACATTATGATCCTTATTGAATCAAACTTTTCAATTGTTGTTGTTGTTAAGTGTTTCCAAATCAGTTTCAACTTCTAGCAACCCTGTATAGTGTTTCTGAGGCTTTAGTGGGAGCAGAAAGCCTTATCTTTCTCCCTAACTTCGCAATAGCATAGAACCAGTTCTATAGGTAATATAAATCTATGTTGCTGTTGTTGTTAAGTGCAGTCGAGTTGGTTCTGACCCATAGCCACTCTGTATAGGGTTTCCAAGGAGCAGTTGATGAGCTTGAACCACAAATCTTGTGATTCAAAGCTACTTTGCAGTCCAGTGTATTAGTCCACAGTGCCTCATAGAACCTGTTTTTAAAACATTTCTGGGTACAGGTTATTTTATAATATCCTGAAATAAAGATCCTGAGTTTGAATTCCATTAACTTTTTATAGCTAGCTCAATTAATATACAACAGTAAGGATAATGGAAAGTCTAAAATGATACTTTTTTTTTTTAAGTTTTTATTGTGAACTGATTGAAAGTTTTCAGGGCAGATCACCAGTTTTACATTCAACAAATCATATACCTTGTTTCATTACAATGATTATAATCCCCTCCATATACCATCAGTTAACAGTATTTCTCTCTATTCATTTTAGCTCTTTTTTTTTTTTTTTCTTTCTTTCTTTAACAGTCAGGCATATATAATAATTTAAACAGCCAAAGGGCACATTTTGCAATACTGCCTCCTGACCTCCAGCTCTCAGTCCCTCTCTTTCCATGTGTCTAGAGTCCTCAGCTGCTCCTTCTCTCCATGTCCTTATCTCTGCCTCCATCTCTGGTATAGCTGCTTCTCTGGACAGGGTCCTGCATTCCGCTTGTGCTCTTCTCCCTTGATGGTCCCAGGGTCCTCTGTTTCTGGACTATAAGATTAACTACTCCCCTGTTTTTGTTACGAAACTTCTACCTTTATAGTTGTGACAGTTGCAATTAGTGATGATAACAGTTACTCGCTATTGAATCATAAGAATCTTATTCCCATCTCTTTTCACTGGAACCATCTAGACAAGATGAAACCTATTCAGTGGAGACTGTATCTTCCCCCACACACTCTTAAACTAAACTCCCTCTTGAAAGCTTGTAAGCCAGTCACTTCATGCCTTTATCCACCCCTCATTTTAGGTAGTCAGTGTTTACGTTGCCCATCACTATCTACTCTGTATACAGAGGGAATAGAATTGATACTTGATGTGAAGTCTCCTTCCCTCTCAGTTGGTATTTTGAGCTACTGCATCCAAGAGTATAGGTCAAGTTCATCAAATTGTATCAATTTACACTTGTTTCCTTTATCAAAATTGTTTTTTGTGTTTTCAGTCTTCCTCTAGTTGAGTTCTGATTATCAAGCCAACGAGGCTAAGTCAAAATCTTCAAGTTTGGGTGTTCTTGTGCCTCATCTCTCACTTCATATCAGCTGGATGCTTCATTCTCAGCTCTAGCCCTCCGTGGCTATATCCTTGTTCCTGGGCTCAGATGCCCATCCCCAAGTCTCACCACACTTTGGACCAACCAGGCCTTCCTCTTCTCTCTCTCATTTCCACGTCAACAGGAGTCTATGGATTGTGGTTGAACTCAGCCCGTTTCTTCATTGCTGCCTTCTAAAATGACTCTTGAAATCAAAATGATTTTTTCTTTCCTAGACAGTTCAGTTACGCTTTTACGCTTGTATAGGAGAGTTGTAAGAGGGAGTAGGATTAAACAGATAGAAAAATATGATGACCTGGTTAACCCCTAAGGATCCTATATTCCTGTTGGCCTTGTAAGTAAAACTAGTCTGAAGGTGGGAGGACTCATCTCTTTATTCTCATTGCTTTTTGTTCTTCCTTCTTCACTACAACTTTCTGATTCCAAAAGCTCAAGCTATTAAATAGGATCACTTGCTTCACAGTCTCTCTCTCAGCCCTTCACCTGTCAGAATGCCTAAAGGTTTCAGTGTCTGTATGGATGGTCCTCGGAGTCACATGATCTCACTTCCTCATGTGTGCTAATCTTGCCCTTCCTGTGAATTTAGCTACTGATTTCCAAGGTCATTTTGCAGACCTTGTGATTATGTATAACTGTACCCTCTCCATAATCTTAATTTTAAGCAATCCATTTTTCAACTGTCACTTCCTGTGTCTACCATTGACTTTCTCTAACTCTTCAACTCTATCCTTTGACTTCTGGTCTTGGATCCTAATACCTTTCACTGACCTTCTCCCTCTCATGTCATCACATTCTCCCTTCGATTTAGATTCCGTGGTCCAGCAGGGTACTGGCGACCTTGCGTACACACCAAGCCACCTGTCTTTCTCTTTATCATCCTCCCTTGACAAAAGCCCAGCCTTAATAAATCCAGCTTTCCATCTGCTTCAGGCCCAGGCTTGTGTGGTGGAATTTGCCTGAGGACATCAGTTGTGCTTCCCAGCCTCACTTTAAATTCATGACCGTTACACTTTGAGGAACAGTCCTTACAGCTGCTGGCAGGTCTCAGTTTATTTTCTTTACTTTTCTATTCTGCACGATACCACTTCATCCCTTTTCTCTCCTCAAACATCCAGCACCTACCCTCATCACTCTCAGCTGACCCGGGTTCTTCACTGTGTAGATAGAAGCCATCTGAAGAGAATTTTGATGCATTTAGCCATTAAATCTACCTCCCCACATTTGGACCATCTGGAGTGCTTTCCTGCCCTTGTCCTTTTGTTCTAAATCCCGTTAACTATCATCTGACAAAGAAACTGCTCTAGTGGTCAGTAAATTTACTTGGACAATATCATTAATATCTTATGCAAGCAAAATTTTGCTAAAGAAAATTCAAAAACAACTGCATCCATACATTGACAGAGAATTTCCAGAGGTTTAAGCCAGATTCAGAAGAGGACATGAAACGGGATATCATTGTTGATGTCAGCTGGGTCATGGCTGAAAGCAGAGAATACAAGAAAGATGTTTACATGTGCTTTATTGACTATGCAAAGACTTTTGATTGTGTGGATCATGACAAGCTATGGACAACAATTGTGAAATATGAGCATTCCGGAACACTCAACTGTGCTCATGAAGAACGTGTACACAGACCAAGAGGCAGTTGTTCGAACAGAACATGGGAACACTGACTGGTTTAAAATTTGGGAAAGATGTGTGCCTGGGTTGTATTCTTTCACCATATGTATATCAACCTGTATGCTGAGCAAATAACCTGAGAAACTGAATTCTAAGAAGAAAAATGTGGCATCAGGATTGGAGGAAGACTCATTAACAACCTGCAATAGCAGATGATACAGGCTTGCTTGCTGAAAGTGAAGAGGACTTAAAATACTTACTGATGAAGATCAAAGACCACAGCCTTTAGTATGTGTTGCATCTCAATGTTAAGAAAATAAAAATACCACTGGACCAATAAACAACTTCCATATAAATGAAGTTATCAAAGACTTCATTTTACTCAGATCAACCATCAACACTCATGGAAGGAGCGGTCAGGAAATCAAACAATGTATTGCATTAGGCAAATCTGCTGCACAAGACTAAAGTGTTGAAGAGCAAAAATTTCATCTTGAAGACTAAGGTGCACCTGACCCAAGGCATGGTATTTTCAGTAACCTCATATGCATGTGAAAATTGGACAGTGAATAAGGAAGATCGTAGAAGAATGGATATATTTGAGTTATGGTATTGGAGGAGAATATTGAAAGTGCCATAGGCTACCAAAAAAACAAACAGATCTGTGTTGGAAGAAGTACAGCCAGAGTGCTCCTTGGAAGCCAAGATGGCCAGACTTCGTCTATCATGCTTTGGACATATTGTCAGGAGAGACCAATCCCTAGAGAAGGATGTCATGTTTGGTAAAGTGGAGGATCGGAGAAAACAAGGAAGACCCCCAAAGTGATGGATTGGTATAGTGGCAGCATCAATGGGATCAGGCATAACAACGATTTTGAGGTTGGCCCAGGACCAGGCAGTGTTTCATTCTCTTGTGCATAGGGTCACTATGAGTCGGTACCGACTCGATGGCACTTAGCAGCATCATCTGTTTTCTTATCTAATGGTCATTTCCATCAGCATACTGTTATTTTTACCATCTTCAAAAGCATATGTCTGCTTTTGTCTTTTCATCCTTTGCTTTGGTCTCCATTTTTGGCACCTCTTTTCAGCAGAACTTTCAAATAATTCCTCTGTACTCAGCTTCTCCCAACCTTTCGAGCTCACCTAAAGAGGTTTTGCCCCATTGCTCCACTGAGATTGGTCTTGTCAAAGTCACGGGGACCACTCCTTACCTAGTCAAATAGTGCCTCCCAGCCCTCATCCAGGTGCACTGGCGGGGCTTGGTTTCCAGGTGGCCGCTTTCTTTATTCCTGTCACCTCATTGGCTGCTGCTGCTTTTCAGTCTCCTCTACTGACCCTCTTCCTCTTCCTGGCTTCCAGCATTGGAGTGCTCCAGCCTCTGGCTCAGGCCTCGGACTTGTGCTCTGGGGACCTGCACTCTCGGAGTTCTCTTACCCACTTCAATAACTCTGACTTAACAATATATCCAGAAGGAACCCTACCCAGGTTCAAGGCACCACCTTCTCCTTCCTGCACTACTCCAGGAGATTCCTCACTGCTCTCCCTGCTTCTGCCTGTGTCTCCTGACAGTCTTTTCTCCTCACAGTGGAGGACAAGTTGATCCTTAAATCATAACTCACATCTGCTGCTCAGTTCACTCAATGAAACCCAGATTCTCTTCTGTGGCATTTAAGATGTTGTTGCTGTTGTTGAGTGCCAGTGCCATTGAGTCAGTTCCAATCCATAGTGCCCCTGTATGGGCCTCCTAGGAAAAACTGGTGAGTTTGAACTGCCAACTTTTTGGTTCAAACCAACTTTGCAGTCCAGCACGTTAACCCACAGTGCCACACCCGGGCTTCATTTAAGATATGGTACCCAACTATCTCTTGGAATTCCTACACTTCTCCCCTTTGATGACTGCTCCATCCTACTAGCTTTCCTGTGGTTGTTGTCCTTAAACACAACTAGTACACCCCCACAAAGTCATGCAGGCCTCTGCTTATAACCTTCTCCCAGGTCCCAAGAAGGGTTTGTGCCCTCACATCTTTGAGATATCTGCATCACTGTACCTCCCAGAGGGGGTCTTCTTCATGATCTCTCACCTAAAGATCATTCCCCTCATCTTGGAGGTGCATACCAGTATTCGTTGTCTCTTGCTTCCCCACCCTGGAATGGGGCTTCCGTAAAGTGAGAGCTATGCTTGTATTGTGCCCTGAGGCCCCAGAACAGTGCCTCACACACAGTAGCACTCAGTAAATGTACAGTGAATGTACGTATGCAAATTCCTGTGCTCAGGATTGGTGTAGTTAAGTTTTAATTAGGAACGCACACACCCCACATTTGGCCTTTGTTTGTGGGGATTCCTTCTCAGATACTTTTTTGGCCTCAATTAATACACAGAACACAAAGACTTATTGAATCGGATGGTGCCTCCGTGTTCGGGTTATGAACTCTTCCTGTGGCATTAGTTGCTATAAAAGGAATAGGGGGTTGTGCTTGATGTGTAAGGGCATGAATCCCTTCACTTGTCAGCTTCTTGTTCTCAATTCTTGCAAAGTAAGAGCAGTAGTAGTTTGGCTATTTGCATGTTCTAGTTCACTAGTTACAATGAATTATTATCTGAATAACCAACTTAAATAATCATAGGTCTAAGCTACATATGTTACTTTTTATTTAAATTTTGTTTTTTGTCACGTAAATATTTCTGCAGACCAGTTTCTATTTTAATTACTCTGAAAGGAGCATTTCTGGGAATCTTTATATGTGCAATAAATTATGATTTCTAACTGTCGTGAGATACCTGTTCTATTTTCAAATTATTAATTTTAACAGTCACCATCTTTGTATTTTCTCAGTTCTTATTTTAAAAGAAAAAAAAAAGTTCAGTTCTGTTTTGGGTATTGAGAGGCAGGGATCAGAAGGGAGGTAATGGAATGAACTCTCCTAATGGCCTGCTTTCTTTGCCCTCATGATAAGCTCAATGAATGATCTCTTACCAAAAAAGATTCCAGAACTACATTTAACTCATACTGGTAAAACGAAGTTAAATCTCTACCAGCAACTATTAAAACTTCATTACCACCAAGTCCATTCCGACTCACAGAGACCCTACAGGACGTAGTAGAACTTCCTCAGAGGGTTTCCAAGACTAACAACCCTTATGGAAGCTGACTGCCACGTCTTACTCCCATGGAGCAACTGCTGGATTCGAACTGCCAAATTTTCAGTTGTCAGCCAAGCACTCAACTTCTGCGCTCCATCTAGTGACTGTTGTTAAGTGCAGTCTAGTCAGTTCTGACTCTTAGTAACCCTGTTTAAGATTTCCAAGGAATGGCTGGTGGATTTGAACTGCCAACCTTGTGGTTAGCAGTCCTTTGCTAGTCCTACACCACACTCGGGCTCCCAGTGACTATTAGATGATGATACTTACCTTTCTAGCTTTCATCAATCCACTCTTCCAGTCCATGGAAGTAGTACCCGGGGTATGTTCATTAGAGCCGCTGGGTGATGCAAACACCTCATTGCTCAGTTGATAATCAAAAGTCTGGAGGTAGAATTCCAGTCAGAGGCTCCTCAGAAGAAAGACCTGGTGATTTACTGCTGAAAAAGCAGCTATTCAAAACCCTATGGAACAGTTTTACTGTCAGGCACACATCAGGTTAAGGAGCTCTGGTAGTGTTATTACGGGTTAGGCTGCTAACCTCAAGGTCAGCAGTTCGAAACTACCAGCTCTTCCGCAGGAGAAAGATGAAGCTTTCTGCTCCCATAAAGATTTACAGCCTGGAAAGCCTGTACAGGATCTCTATGAGTTGGAACCGACTCCACGGCACATCACCACCACACATAGGGTTGCTGTAAGTCAGAATGGACTCAACAACAACTTCTGCATTCCTTATATGACAGACATTTCAGCTGCCCAGTCCTCCGACACTTCAAGAAAATCCCCACCACTTCAGGTGTTTTTGCTTTCTTCCCAGGGAATATGTGGTTTTCCGAAAGCCTCTTAAGGGAGGAGTAGGCGAATTTATTTGATTAGATAGGGACTTCCCTGGAAATGGGTGCCAGTTACTGTATTCAGATTGTTGTTAAGTGCTGTCGAGTTGGTTTAAACTCATAGCTATCCTGTCTAGGGTGTCCAAAGAGCAGCTTGTGGGTTTGAATTGCTGACCTTGCAGTTAGCAGTCCATTGCTTATCCTATCAGAACTTCATTCAGATACACTGTCCTTGTTATTCATGCTTGTTTTGTGTCTTTGTTTCCTCTTCCAGGCCTCGTTTGGGAACAGTCATGCACCGAGTGATTGGCCTGGGGGTTCTGTACTTTATCTTTGCAGCTCTTGAAGGCATGATGAGAGTCATTGGGGTAAAGATGACATAACTCCTCTACCTCCCTCTTTAGTTGGTGCTGTGAAGTCTGGTTGTGCTTTATATATCCTAAGATGAAGTTTTAAAGATTGGAAACTTATGCAGAAGGCCCAATTTGAACTTGTTCCCATGGAATAGTTCCATTTAAAAAATACTTCCTTAAGAGAAAAAGCTAGGTAGAACATTCTTAAAATGATAACGTTATGAAGAGAGCATGTGATGCCATCCCAGGAATTAGCTCCCTCCCTGAAATGTTCTGGGATGTCATTCTTTTGAAAGAGTGTTTTATCTGTCATTATATAGTCTGTGCATGTTTATGTGTTCGGCAACCTTTGATTTAAGAATGTGTAAAGGGAACAGGTAGCTAATTATGCCTTTCAAGCATATAAACATTACATTTCATCTCTCTTTAAGTTTCACTTGTTTAAGGTTTGTCTGTCTCTTTTAAATTCATTAATTTGAGAATTAAGCATCTATCACTGTGGGAAAAACAAGAAAAGAAAATTTTCTTAGAGAAAAATGAGTGACAATATAGGCAGCAATTCCCTATTTTGTAGTGAAGGTCAGACTATTTTATGTTACGATTTCTAGCTTTCTGGGTTTCTTAATAAATGGTGAAATGATGAAGAAACTTACTATATTTTAATTACAGAACCTTACAAGTATTACCAAAAGTGTCCTTTGCAGTACATAGAGAAATAGACCACTGCACAGAGATTGGTTCATCTGTATATTGCCACTTAAGTTTATGTCACATATTTTGATGTGTTCTTGAAAGCAGGACATTTGTTCATTGATGTTCAAAAAAAACTTCCTGTTGTCTTGGATTCATTTGCATTTGGTGTTAGAGACACCTGTTCCTTTAATCTTTGAATGTATTTACTTTCACCTTTACATAATAATGAATTCTTAGTGTGTGTGTACATATACACATACACACACACATATATATAAAATTCACAGAAAATTAAGCTCTGCTAGAAAGGAAATAGGAAAAATAAATAAAACTCTCCGTCCACACTTGATTAGTCACAGAGTAGATGTCGAATGTGTGGTTAGTTTGTATGCGGTTCCCTGATTGTCCTTGTTTGTCTTTTTCCCTTCACATGCACTAGGGAAGAGCAGGAGTCCGTTTGATGACCTGTTAGTAGCCCTGGCTCTCTGTTTCATGGGGAGTGGGAAGAGACTAAAAAGACTGGCCCAAGGCAGGCTGGAATGGGTTGCTTTTTACTGACAATTTCATTATACAATTTTACATTACTACCATCAGATAAGTTGATGCCAAAATTAACATCTGTTGCTGCCAAAGCAACTTAATTCTTAGAAAACAGAAATCTTTTATATAAATACTTTTGTAAATGATGAGATAAGCTAAATTGTTTTTCATTATCAGATAATAAATGTTATAGCACAATGATTCCATTCCATTTTTGTTTTCTTGTTTTTCTGTTTCTTTCAGGGCTCTACCCACTTAGCTGTTGTTTTGGGTGATATTATTTTAGCAGTCATTGACTCCATTTTTATATGGTTCATATCCTTTGCTATATCTTTCTAAAAAGTTTGTTGTATCATTGAAAGCAGGTTTTTAATGCTTTTAATTTATAATAATAGTACAAAGAGATGTAGTTCCGTCATTGTTACCTCAAGATAGGAATTTAGTCGAAGGAGAAAAAGTAGCAACTCATAAACTCAGACAATGAGTATTTTCATTTTTTTCTATTTAACTGAGTAAAGATCTAAGTGTTTGTTGTGTGTCCTGTACTGAGGCAGCATGGGTAAAAATAATGTCATCACTTCAGGAGCTCATGGTCTGATAGGGGATACAAATGCATTACTAGAAGCAATACAGCAATAGTAATTACTGTTTTACAGAGATGCTACTTTAATGGAGGGAAGAGAAAAACAAATTCTAAACCTGAAAAACCAGGAAAGACTTCACAGAGTTGGTGACATTTAAATTGAGACTGGAAGGACAAATAGCAGTTTACTAAGCAAACAATTGGAGAAAGGGTATTCTGGTAAGAAATGAGGGGAGCAAACAGTTGAAAACATGAAAAGGAAGTTGAAAACATCATAGGAAGAAAGGCAGAGTATTCCAGGTAGCTGGCCTGAAAGAGAGCATGTGTGGGAGAATCCTGGGGACTGGTGCCAGAGGAGAAAGACAGAGTAACCTCAGGTCTAGACTTCCTTCTGAAGGCAGGATGTAGAGGACAACTGATGCTGAACCTGTGAGCTACAAAATGAAAGCTGTGGTAGAATGCAGTCATGGCAGAGGGTAACTTGGAGAGGAGAAACCACAGGCAGGAGTCATTTGCAATGGTCCAAAGAAGGAACCAGTCCCTGGAGAAGGGCATCATGTTTGGTAAAGTGGAGGGTCGGGGAAAAAGAGGAAGACCCCCAACGAGATGAATTGGCATAATGGCCGCAGCAATAGGTTCAAATGTAGCAACGATTGTGAGGTTGGCACAGGACCAGGCAGTGTTTTGTTCTGTTGTGCGTAGGGTCTCTATGAGTCAGTACTGACTTGATGGCACCTAACAACAGCAACAACAAAGAAGAGATATTGGGTATCAGAAATAGAGTAGGGGAAATATGAAAGACTCCAAATAACAGATGTGGCTGAGCTGGCTGACAAAAGAAGGAACAGAAGACGCATGTCTCACTCGAGTGGCTGAGGGTAGTGTAGCTGTTCTTAAAGCAGTGAAATGAAGGAGGAGCCATAATGGATGAGGTTTGAGCTGTCCAGGGCATGAGGATGAAGAAGAGACTTGGAAAGTCAAGCCTGATTTTGGGAGACGACTCAGACTGGTAATGGAAACCCTTTTCGTGTGAGCAAAGGCTACATCTGTAGCTGTTGGCCCAAGGAAAATGTATAGGTCATTAAGAAAGAAGAACCAGGAACATGGCTAGGGGGAGGGAAAGTATGTGGAAGGAGAATCTGAGGGGAGAGGCTGGAGAGCCAGACAACTGTTGAGACTTCGGTAAGGAGGGATGGTCATCAGCGGCCGGTTCTATACATCCAGCTGTGGTCACTGCTGGGTCAGAATGGGACAACAAGAAGTGGTGGGGCAAAAGCCACATTATAGCAGGGGACACAGTAAGCAGGAGAAGTTTTAGAAGCACCGGTAACTGGATCTGCACTGACTCAGTGACTCGGGTTGAGTCTGGGCATTTCTTTGTGTTTTCCTCTGTCACCAGCCTTTTGATTGGCAGCCTCATGACTCAGTCAGAGCAGAATTCAGGGTTAAGCAGATCCCGGAACATACTTGTCTCGGTTTCTTCTACATATATGTACTTTTCTTTGAAACTCCTTCCTACTGATTTTGTTTATGCCAAGTACTTTTCTGTTTTCAGTGTATTTGATATTTATGTCTTTTCAGCTTTTATTGTTTTCCTTGTATTTCTTAACACTTTCTCATCTTTATGTCTCACAGGAAGGGCCCATGCACTTGAATTTCTCTGTTTCCCTATATATAAAACCAAAACCCATTGCCATCAAGTTGGTTCCTGCTTATAGTAACCCTGTGTTGTTGTCGTTGTGAAGTGCCATGGAGTCAGTTACGATTCATAGTGACTATATAGGGTTTCCAGCTGCCGGTGAACTTGAACCGCTGGCTTTGTGGTTAAACCAACCTTGCCATCCAGAGCATTAATAAATAGTGCCACACCAGGACAGACTATAAATAAGTGCCCAATAGGGCTTCCAAGGGTATAATCTTTACTGAATTAGTCTTCCATATCTCTCTCCCATGGAGTGACTGATACCAGGGACGGTTTGGTTAGCAGCTGAGCTCTTAACCCCTGCGCCACCAGACTCCTTAGCTTATCTTTTGTATCTCTATTACATATGGTAGCAAATGTAGCTTTCTGAGTCTCTTGTTTGCCTCTGAGTTGTTTCCAACTTATACTAACCATATAGCAGTAGGTCTGATGACACAGTGGGTTACATGCTGGGCTGCTAATGCAAAGGTCCACGGTTCAAACTCGCCAGAAGGATGATGCTCTGTGCTCCCCAAAGGATTCACCTCTACTCTCTACTCTGTTCCTATGTAGGGTTGCTATGAGTTGGAACTGACTTGGTGGCAGTGGGTTTAGTTTTTTGATTATAGGACAGAGTATAACTGTCCCCAGGAGTCCTGGTGTGGCGCTGTGGATTAATGTGCTGAACTGTAAATTTGGTTTGAACCGCAAGGTTGGTAGATCAAGCTCACTGGTTACTCCTCGGAAACCCTATATGGGGTTGCTGTGAATCGTAACCAACTCAACGGCACTTAACAACAACAAAATAACTGTCCTCTAGGAGTCCTGGTGTGGCGCTGTGGTTTAATGGCCAGACTGCAAAGCCGTTTGAACTGCAAGGTCGGTGGTTCAAACTCATCAGCTGCTCCTGGGAAACCCTACACAGGGTTGCTATGGGTCGGAATCAACTCGACGGCACTCAACAACAAAGGTTTCCTAGGCAGTGATCTTGATGGAATCATTGACAGTTCTTTCTCCTGCAGAGCCACTGGTAGATTTGAACCATGGACCTTTCAGCTAGCAAATATTTAAGTGCCTTAACCATTGTGGCCCAGGGCTCCTTTCTGAGTTCCTTAGTTTTGTTTTTTTCCAATCCCAGTCTTGCTTGTCTTTAAATTCCCTAGTTTTGAATTATCAATATAGTACCAATAGAAAAAAGCACCCATCAATATAAAATAATTATTCTTACAATTTAAAGCAGTGGTTATCAACATTTTTTTGGGTCCTTGGATCAGTGATGCCTTTTAAAGAGAGCTATGGAATTTCTCCATGAAACATAAGCACATCTACCCACACAAGGGCTTTTGTACTCACTGCAGCATTACATGCAGACTCGTCCTAAGCTAGATCCCTGGACATCTGAAGTGTCTATGAATGACAGTTAAGAATTAGCACCAGATTGGAAGAGTTGTTTTTAACTGAACTTGCTTGAGAATCATCTACTTCTGTTCAGTTTAGAGCCCAAATATATTGAATCAATTGCAGTTAAATTGGATCTTCTCAGTGATAAAAATAAATACTTGGCTCTAGTGTAGTTTTTCATATTTTCTGTAGTTAAAAAATTGTACATTCTATTTCTAAAACTGTGTGCTATACATTACTCAGTCTGCATGTGAATAGCAGTTCTGAGGTGAGAGTCCTCGTCCCCAGGGATGGCTGGTCCTGCCCTGTGCAGCTCATTACCTGTCTGAAGACTGGCAAAGAAGTATCTGTTTTGTAGTGCACTTGCCATAGGCAAAATTGCAGAGGGGGTGGGCCTAGATGTTGTCCTCCGCATTACTGTCACAGGGTCTTAATGTCACTTGTCTTACTTCTAATATTATTTATGCCTGGAACCTTTAGCAAGTTTAAGAGTCTGTCCTTCAATTAATTAAGCAAGTGGACTTTACTTAAAAGAAAAAGATGTTTCATCTTTTTTGATAACTTACAATCCTGTATTTCAAAGAAATCTTGTTCCTAACCCTCTACAAAGTAGTTCATTGGGAAAGCAGTAATGTAACTTGTCAGAACATTCCAAAGAAAAGAACTGTCAGTCCGTCTGGATTTGAGTGGGGATAATTGATCACCTTTGTGGGCAGCATTGATTTTGGTCCCTTCTAATACCTAGTGAGCCAAATTGAGAAAACAGTCATAAGGAAATCCAGAAATTAAGATGATCTTGGTTCATGTTTTACATGTGAGAGACAGGGAATCTAGTATCTATTTTTGCTTGAACCTGAACTTTCAAAAGTTTGCCTTCAGATTTTGCATGCAGCGTTAAAATTGAAATTTTGCTTTCCCTGTACAAAAAAAATAGTGGGTTTCTGAAGTGATTACAAATTACAAGCAAAAGAAGCGGACTAGATACAAAATCAACTGCTTCTCTTGATTTTGATTAACAATGTAACCGATCCTCTAAGGATCTAATTTCTAAATCATAGAAAAAAATTAGCCTAAAGTTAAAAAAAAAAAAAAAATTCTCACCTAGGCCCGTCCTCTTTTTGCTTGTTTTATTTTTGCTATTTTGCTGCAGGCACAAGATTCTGATCTTGTTCTTCTAGCCAGCCTCCCCCTCTCTCTCCTTGACTCGGGTTTATGCTGGTGGATATCCTTTTCCCGGTGCAGCTGCAGCTTCGCGGTGACTTTCATGTCAGCAGCGTGAGACCTGTTTGCTTTCATTGTTTCTTTGCTGGGAGAAATTACTCAAAACTTACCTCAATTTAATAGTGTCTTGTGAAGGCTTAGGCAGTTTCAAATTTGATTTTGATCCATTTATTCATTGGTTTTTAATAAATCCTTTTGAATGATTAAATGGATCCGTTTTTACCCAGAAAATTGGTTTAAGTCAAGAATTTTCATAAAGTATTGGTCTTAATGTGTTTTGAAATAATGAAAGTATTTGCGTTTTTTAAATTTCTGCCACTGGTTAAAATTGCTGGGTTATTTTACAGTTTATTGGTCATTTAAAAAAATTGCAAAAACAGTCTTAGTTAAGTAATTTTAGTATGATCATGAAGTGCTTGATTAATGAGATTTTTTAGGATTTAAAAAAAGGCACAAGTGCAAACTTTGCCACTTCAGTTCTTTTGCACAACTCTACTATTTTGGGACATTTATCAGAGAAGAAGTGAATTCATGTGAGCCAGTGTTTGCTTCATAAGCAAGGCATGTTGGTGCACTCCAAGAGGAAGGAGGTCTCATTTAAGAACAGTGAGATCTAACTAGACTCCCAGCTACATTGCTCTGGAGGGCATAGAGTTTCTGTTTATTTCTGCATACTGAAGAGTGTTGAACTTTATACCAGCTTTGCATTCTGTAAAACTGTGACGATCACTCCCAGTACAGCACCCCTCTCCCTGCCACACACACACATACTCCTTTTTATGTTCCAGGGAAAGGTTTACTTCAAAGAGCCACCCTTTCCTATATAGCTCAGATGCAACTGACAACAACTCCTTGTTGACTATGACAAGGCCAGAAACCAGCCCTCCAAATTCCCAGTCTTTTACTTCATAAATGATTAGCTTAACTTTGTACCCCTTGATCAATCTGGACCAAATGCTTGGCTAGACCACACCTTGTTTGATCACTCTCCTTCCTCTAGATCCCTGAACATTGATGTGACCTACCTCACCCTCAGCCTATCTCTGCTTAATGCCCTTCCTGTAAACTGGCTGACCTAACAAACAACAGTCTATGATCAACTATCTAGCCACACCATCCACTCTTTCACACTTGGTTCTTTTTAGTCTTGTGTTCTGCCTGACCTTTGCAAGCTTGCCAGAGCTTATGGTTAAAGCATTCTCCCTATGGCAGTAGTCCTGACCAGGGTCCAGTTTTGTTTTGGTATATTTCCTTTTTTTAATTGAGAAAACAGAATTGGTAGTTGATCTCGCTTCATCCTTATGATCCTTCTGGGAGAGTGAGAGGTTAGAATGAATAAACCAAGACAGAAAGCACAAGCCAAATGGCCTGTTACAAGGTGAGCTGTTAGAGGCTCCTCAGAGCCAGCAGTGTGTGCACGGGCCTGTGCTGCAGGAGCCTGGCCGTGACAGAACACATCACAGGTCTGCCTGCCTGCGCTTTCTCCTTGAAGTTTGTGGATTCTGTTCATATGACGGTAAGTTACAAAGCAAAATCTGTAATAAAGTCAGTATTATGGTTGTACAGTGTTGGCTAAGATAATATTTTCTGTAGAATCAGCACTGGACTATAAACCACAGGGTCAACAGTTCAAACCCCACCAGCTGCTCCTTGGAAACCTTATACAGGGTCACTATATGTCGGAACTGACTTGACAGCTCTTACTAACAACACATGTTTTTACTAGTTTCATATTTTCAGAACTATATCTACTAGTACTAACTTTAGAAATATAGTTTGTTGTTAGGTGCCATTGAGTGGTTACCGACTCATAGTGACCCTGTGCACAACAGAACAAAACAACTGCCCGGTCCTGGGCCAACCTCACAGTTGTTGCCATGCTTGAGCCCGTTGATGTTGCCACTTTGCTAATCCATCTCGCTGGGGGTCTTCCTCTTTTTCTCTGACCCTCCATCTTACCAAACATGATATCCTTCTCCAGTGACTGATCCCTCCTGACAATATGTCTGAAGTATGAGACACCAAGTTTGGCTATCCTGGCCTCCAAGGAGCACTCTGGTTGCACTTCTTCCAACATAGGTCTGTTAGTTCTTTTGGCAGCCATGGCACTTTCAGTATTCTCTCCTCCAACACCATAACTCAAAAGCATCAATTCTTCTACGGTTTTCCTTATTCACTGTCCAGTTTTTGCATGCACATGAGGTTATTGAAAATACCATGGCATGGGTTTTAGTCCTCAGGCTGACATCTTTGCTCTTCAACACTTTAAAAAGGTCTTGTGCAGCAGATTTGCCTAATGTAATACGTCATTTGATTTCTTGACTGCTGCTTCCATGAGTGTTGATAATTGATCCAAGAAGAATGAAGTCCTTGACAACTTCAATATTTTCTCCATTGATAAGAATATTGTTTATTGGTCCGGTGGTGAGAATTTTTGTTAGTAGATGATTTTGTTATAGTAGATGATTCCTATTTTGTTTTGAATCTTAACTATTTATTCCTATTCAAAATGTTTTTCCTTAACTTGTTTCACATTTTCATAAGTTTGGCACAAACGATGAAGACTCTAAGGTTAAGAAAGAACACAGTGAAATTTTCTTTATACAGACACTTTACAAATACGCTGATATTTGCTGTATTGGGTAAGCTGTTTAATTTTTCTTATCATAAATTATGATAATTAATATGATGTGTTATTTTAAAGGTAACTGTTTGTATTTCAGCTTCTGTAGTTTTTATGATATGGACAACTAAGACATTTAGAATGGCAAAATGCCAATCGGTAAGTATAACCTTTGTACTTCAGCAGTTATTTTTAATTATACAATTTTATTTTGTGTATTTTGAAGACTTTAGTTTGTGTTTGTAAATAGACATAATTACAGTAGAGATTTGCTGTTTGCTTTAAACTATTTTCTATAGAATTGTAAAATCTCTTGCCGCCTTATAATGAATGTCAAAAGGTCCTCCTAAGTCATCTTTTTCTGTTACATCTCTTTTTATTTAAACTTTTTATTGTGAATTTAGTGAAGGTTTATAGACAAGATCATCAGCTTTACATTCAACAAATCATACACTGTTTCATTTCAGTGATTACAATCCACTCCCTGCAACAACAGTTATCCTATTTCCTTTCTGTAGTTCCCCATTTAAATCTTTTATTTCACAGATTAACAAAGCATAAATAGCATAGTGGTACAAATTGGGCTGCAAACTGTAAGGTCAGCCGTTTGAAACTACCAGCTGTTCCGTGGGAGAAAGATGAGGCTTTCTGATCCCGTAAAGATTTACAGCCTCGGAAACCCTGTACAGGGTCACTATGAGTTGGAACCGACTCCACAGCACATAAGCACCACCATCACCATACAAAAGAAAAAATACATACTCATTTAAATGTTCAAAAGGCACATTCTGCAAGCCAGCCTCCTGCCCACAGGCACACAGCCTTTCTCAGTCCTGGGCCTCTGTCTCTCCCTGCCTCTGCCACCGTCTCTGCTGTCACCATTTTTCTAGGTAGGATCTCATGGTCTTCCTTCTCGATGATCCTGGGATTGACTCTTTCTGAAATGAAATAATGTCATTTCCTTTTCTTAACTTATTTTTGTATATTTGGAAGAGAATTACCTCTTTGTATACTTTAAGATAACAAGAAATCTTTTTCTTATATTTCTTTCTGCATACCATGAAATTAGATCATTGTATAGTTTTCAATATGCCCCTGATAAGTGAGACTCTAAATGCTAAGTTTGACTTTATGGCATGGTAGACTTCTTATGAAAATTCAGGAGATATTCTCTCTCGATGGTCATAACTTTTGGTCAAAAGAAGAAACATTTCTTAGTCTTGGAAAATAAAAGACCCCTTCTTGAGGTTTTTTTGAGATTTGCAGCTAGTCTCTGCTTCTGTATAAACAATTGCAAAGAGCGAGTTCTCTGACAGTCCTGGTCTTCTGTCCATTACTTTAGGGACAATTTAAACGGAGAAGAGACTGAACTTTCCAGAATTTTTCTCCTCCCCACAAATTAGTGTTTCTCACTTGAATCTCTACATTTTATTTTTGTTTCTATATTTTTAAATTAGCCCTAAAGTTTATAGAAGGGAATGTTTATAATGTAAACAGCCCTTTAGAAATATTTTGAAACGTGTCATATAATCATCTGTCCTATCAAGAGCACAATCAGCTACTGGGAAAATCTTTGCAGTGAGATTTTTACATCAGATTCTGAAGACATTGAGTGATCAGTGTCAAAGTGCCCATTGCCAGCTTGCTTCTAATTCTGCTACTAACTTGCCATATAACTTTGAGGAAGTTCATTAATCTTTATTGGTCTCTTCTGAGAGATAGAGGCAGGTTAAAATTCCTCTGAAGCCCATTAAACTTTAACTCTCCAAATTCTCTGTAATATGTAGTTTTACATTAGCATGTTACTCATCTTGATTCACTATGAGACTGAAACGGAAGGAAGAATTAATTTTCATTTTATAGAGATAGGATACATTTTTTGTGTGTTTTTATAGAAAACTTTAATTAACAATTTAGTCTTTTAACATTTATTCAGCAAATTTGAATAAATGTCAAATGTTTATGAAATGTTTTCTGTTCTTTTAAAAACATATTTCTTGTAATTAGTTTTCTACATAGTAGAGAAATTATTTTAAAGGCACAAAGATAGGATATATTTTTAAGTGAATTATTTGAAATTTCTTAGTTTTTATACTGAAAAATGTGTGCTTGGTTATTTGAAAGTCACGTATAATTTTATACAATTTGAAGAGAAAACCTGTGTTTAGTAGAAAATTAATTTTTCACTTTTGAATTGTCCTTTTTATAGGATTGGATGGAACACTGGGTTGATGATGCATTTTGGAGCTTCCTTTTTTCCCTTATTCTTATTGTCATAATGTTTTTGTGGAGACCATCAGCAAATAATCAGAGGTACTTTATCGGGGACTGGCCTCGACATAGAGGTTCGGTTCACGAGGAGGAGATACCTGGCGGCGATAGAGATAGCAAAAGAATACACAGACAGACAGAAGAAGGGAGACAATGAGGCACCCCAAAGCCAGGGTGGATACATCACTAGTGGGCAGACTTGGGAGTACAGGCATCGTGGCCTCTGCAGGCAGCAACTCACTAACCTGCAATCTTTACTGCATGCCCTCTATCTTGTAATGCACAGCTGGGGAGGCCTGGGCCTCTGTTTTATCTAGGGGAGGAGCTTCACACCAAGCTGGGAGGGACTAAAACAGGATACAGCTAACATCAGTAATTTTCCAGACATTCAGGTAGCTTTACATTGAACTTCGCTGGTTCGAATCCCAGGCCCACAGCTTGGTCTCTCAGGCTCAATTAACGTATCTATAGCCCCTGAGCTCAGTTGGAGTAAGGTGAGAGGTAAGGACAAAAGTTTGGGCAGAGTCCTGCTGTTTCGGCTTCCTGAGCCAGGTTTTCAGGAACTTGGCTGAATAGCTAACACTTGGGAGAGATTCAGGGAGGATGGTTTTTTTTGTCTGTAGAACAAAGAACCGAGAAGTAGCTAAGATATTTTTAGTTAATCCTTTGGAGGAAGACTTGGCCTTGCAACTTTTACAGTCTTCGGCTTTAGGAAAATATCACATTTATCTGTGGATTATCAAGGGCTCCATGTATTAAATTAATAAATATAACTGAACACTAAGATGAAAAACAATTTGCTATTGACTGCCAGTGGCCTCATTTGTTCCTCAGAGCCTGCGGCCTGTATAGTCTACACACGGTCTGCAACAGTGCTTAAGGTAGGAAAATTCCACTCAGCAAGCATCTTGTTCATTACCTGCTACAGTGCCAAAGACACATTTATAAAAACTGTAGGAAAGTAGTCCTTGCCTTTAAGGAGTATACAGTCAAATAGTAAGATAGAAATAACACATGCAAGATAGTGAAATAAGAGATTTATAAACTAAATCTGGAGGGACAATGGAAGAAGGATGAATACTTTCTGAAAGAGTACGCATTTCTATTAGACCTGTCACATTCTGTGAGGAATGGAGTTGTTACTATGTGCTGTCGAGTGGGTTCTGACTCACATGGACCTTGTATAGGGTTTCCAGAGTAGCTGGTGGGTTTAAACCGCCAACCTTGTGATTAGCAGTCCAGTGTTTATCGGAAGGCACCACACCAGGAGTCCAAGGAATGGAGGAGGACAGTGAAAACTTGAGATGGAAAAGACTGTACTTTTTCTGAGGTGTGGGAAAATATTGGATACAAGGGGGCTTCAAAAAGATCATAAAATTACTCCATAAGCTTTTTGAAGCCCACTCATAGACTTTGAAGGTGATTGAGGTATGCAGTTTAGTTAATGCCACTTGCACTAGAAGGAGATAAGGCTGGAAAGGAAGAGTGGGGCCACGATGGTAAAGCACTTGATTACTACATGTAATGGGAAACTCCACCTTCTCTTGCCACATCGCTCTTCCTAACGGAATGTGCCATTAAGTTTATTATATAAAATGAAGAAGTACATACCAGTATAAGTATTTCTCCCTTTTAAAAAGTATACAGTAATAATAATAATAAATACATACCTTGTTCTGCACCTTTTTGTGTAAAATGTATCTTTTCATATCATCACTGTCATATTATTATTAGTCCCTTATGGCATTCCATCATATGAATGCCCAGTGGAGTGTCCTTATATGTGGTAGTTATAAAGTCATTACAAACACTGAATTTGTGAATACTAAGCCATTGTCTTTAAGGAAAATACAGAGTTAGGTTCCTATGAGACTCTGTTCCCAATAGTTCATCAACTGATCAATAATATGTAATCTTGTTTTATGTATGTTTCTGTTTAAGACACCTCATGTATTACTGAGTCATTAGCATTGAACTCAGGGTCAGCCGTACTATAACTCATGCCGGAATAAAGCTTATTTAACATATATTTTCTTCATATTACATCTTGCACTAGGCAGCACTTGAACACTACACTTGGGGACCATTTTAAACAGGAAAATCACTAGCAAACCCAGAAAATGGTGACACTAAATTGATCATGTGGCACTAAATAACAAAAAGGACACTTGTTTACAATGAGAGCTGAAACAACAAAAGCATTGCCTTGTTCATCCTTGGTTAGAAATGTGCACATTGAGTGACTCAACTTGTTCATCAGCCTGCACATATGCACAAATGACTGCAAAAGTGCCATTAGTGTTGATTTGGAGGATAAAATGACATTGTAGAGAACAGACAGAAACCACTAAGTATGGAATCCATAGATAATAAGGATTAACCGTAGCATGATTTATATAAGCAGTTTATAATTATTAGACATGTAGTTGGGTGGTACAAACACCCAGTTATGTGTTCAACTGCTAGCTGAAAGCCTGGTGGTCCGAACTCACCCAGAGGTGCCTCCAAAGATAGGCCCATTGATCTGCATCTAAAAGGTCCCCGCCTTGAAAACCCTGTGGAGCACTCTGCTCTGTACATGTGGGAGCACTATGAGTCAGAGTCTACTCACAGCATCTCACAACAACTACTAGGCATTTGTGTCTAGATTTTTGCTATTATTAAGCAATGCATTCTGAATGTTCTTGGACATCTATCTTGGTGAACTTCTGTGGGTTTTGTGTGCTGTCAAGTCTGTTTCGACTCATCGCAACCCTGTATAGTGTTTTCAAGGAGCAGCTGGTGAGGTTGAGCTGCTGACCTTGTGGTTAGAAGTCCAGTGCTTATCCTATAGCACCACACCAGTGTAATATAAGGTAAATGCATCTTTACTGTGATAGATATTGTCAGAAGATCTTCCAGACAGTTTGTGCCAATTTACACTCTATCACCAATATATTTGAGAGAAGAGTCACTTGATCAGTATACACCCTCCCTGCCCCTAGTCATATGAGCACCTTCTTTGTAATCAGGGGATGAGGTAGGCAGGGAGGTAAACGTGATATGTTGAGAGGGGTGGGGGAGAATGCAGCAGAAAGTTCCCTTCCCCAACATTATTGTAAAAATCCATCCCCAAAAAGTTTTGTCCATTTATATGTCTACCATTAGGGTATGAGAGCGCCAGTTTCACAGTCTCCTTACAATAACCTAATTTGAGAGTAAAAAATTTGAATTTTATTTTTTTCAATTCACAGGAAACTTTTAAAATAGAGAGTTTCTGTATACAATGCCAGTTTTAGACATATTTAACCTAAAAACTGAACCATTTTAATTATGCTGGTAAGATTACTTCTTGTTTTTTTGCTGTAGATATGCCTTCATGCCCTTAATAGATGACTCTGATGATGAAGTTGAAGAATTCATGGTAACGTCTGAAAATTTAAGTGAGTGACGTGTTTTGTTTATCTTGAACATTTTGCATATTGTAACAGAAATATTGTTTACGTATAATATAAAGTCACATACACAGTTTTTATTTTTTTCCTGCAAAATATTCAGAAACATTTTATATGGTATGTTATCGCAACAAAAGAGTCCTGGTGTGGTGCTGTAGGATAATTACTAGATTGTTAACCATAAGGTTGGCAGTTCAAATCTACCAGCCACTCCTTGAAAACTAAACAGGGTTGCTAGAAGCCTGCAGCTGCTCTGTCTCTCCATACTACTGCCTCGGCTGACGCCACTTTTCTAGGTAGGGATCTCACGCTATGTTCATGTTCTTTCTTGATGGTCCTGGGGTCATCTGTTCCTGCTTCTCAGATGGCTCCACTGGAACCTGGTGTGATGACACAATTAGCCAATCTCTGTGTTAAGAGTCCTGTACACCCTATTTACATGGTCCCATGGTGCTATAGGATAAGCACTGGAGTGCTAACTGCAAGGTTGATGGTTCAAACCCATCATTTACTCCTTGGAAACCTTACAGAGTGTCGTTGTGGGGTTGGAACCATCTTAATGGCATTTAACAACAACATCCAATCATTTGTTGGGAATTCAGACATTGGATATAAAAGTTATATCAAGTAAATCCAAGGTACAGTAGAAACCGTAAACCAGAATCACGTGAGTCAGAATCAACTTGATGATATACAACAACAGCATGGAAACTATAAAAAAGGAAACAAATAGAAATACCAAAGCTGAAGATACAGAATATTAGAAATAAAAATTCACTAAATTAGGATTATTTGATTTGATAAAATAGAATACAAATCAGTGAACATTTGAAATTCTATAAACTGAAAAGTAGAGATAAAAGATTTGAAGCGCAGTAAACATAACTTCAGGAGTCCTGGTGTGGCACTGTGGGTTAATGTGCCAGCCTGCAAAGTCATTTCAACTACAAGGTCAGTGGTTCAGGCTCACCTGCTGCTCCTTGGAAACCCTATACAGGGTGATTATAGGTCGGAATCGACTTGACGGCACGACAACAAACAAAACTTCAGAGACCTGTTGTACATTATTAAACAGTCTAATATATGTATAATTAAACTCCAGATGGAAAAGAAAGAAAGAACAGGGCATAAAAATACTTGAAAAAATATTGGCCAAAACATTTCCAAAATTGATCAATAGCAGAAACCCATGGAGTAAGGAAGTTTAATGAGCCCCAGACAAGATGAATACAAAGAAAAGCACATCTAGCATCATAGTCAAACTGATAAAAACCAAAGATAAAGTAAAATCTTAAAAGCAGCCAGAGAAAGAAGGTGTGTTATATTCAGAAGACCAACAATAAAGATAATACATTTTCAGAAGCAGCCGAGCCCAGAAGACAGTCCTAAACTGTAAATAACTCAAATGTTCTTGAATAGGTGAATTGATAAACAAGTTGTAGTATGTTCATATGAAGGAATATTATTCAATAATAAAAATAATAACTTCTCCAACATGAATAAATCATTTAATTTATTCACTAAATTCAATAAAACTTTAAGTTGAGTGAAAGTTGTCAAGTCCAAGAGGATGTAGAGTTCACAGATTATGATTCTATGGCAGTTAACAAGAGAACAGCGACTGCATTAATCAGAATAGTATTTGCTTCTAGTGGGGTGAGCACTGGTTGGAAAGGTCTTATTTTTCAGACAATCATGGACATGTTAAAATATCTTGCTAGAAATGGTAGTCACACAAGTATGTGTGTTTGTCAAATCTCTTTGGGCCATACTCTTAAATGTGTGTGTTTGATATGCTCAAGTTTTCAAAATGTGTGAGATAGACACTATTATTATCCCCAGTATTTAGTTCAGGGCACGGATTCATAGAATGTGTATTAACTTGCCCACGCTTGCATAGTACAGGCAGAATTCCAAGTATGGTAGTCTCCTTCCCAAACCTATCCTGCATAAGAGCTTTTTCTTCCATTTCATATTTATGGTGAAGCTGTCTGCTTCCAGAAAGTTTTGCAGTCTCTGAAACCCTAAATTGGGGAGCTGTGAGTTGGCATTGACTTGATGGCATAACAGTAACACACGAGGACTGTAAAACATAGTGTACATTTTCTTCTTGAATATGATATTTAAAATTCTATAGATTTTAAAAATCCTCAGTTATCTGGGGGAAATACAAAGGGACTTCAGAAAGTTTGTGGAAACTAGAGTTACAAAATGATGGGTGCTTTTGGAAGCACCCTCATATGTGTATACATACATGGATATTTGTTTACTGAAACTCCCCTAAAATTAGATTTTCAAACTAGGAACTTCAAAACCTAGATATTGTTGTAAAAAATTGTTAATATCTATTAACTTTTTATACCTCTTTCTTTCATTTCCAAATGTATAATAAGCCAACGCTTTGCCCAAAATTTCCACCATTAACTCTCCTTTAAAAAAGAATATTATTTCCTTGTTGGTTTATTAAAGGTGAAGCTCTATAGGAAAATATTGTGTCATTTTATATCTGTAATTTTTCTCATTATAGCTGAAGGAATGAAATTAAGAACCTCTAAAACAGTCTCCAATGGAACAGTGAAAGCTGCCACTTCTGATAATTTTGTGAGTATAGATTAATAGACTCTCAGCTTTTAATACTCTAGAAATCTGTAAAATGCATGTCATATTCATTGACTGTCAGAACATGTTTTTACTAAGGTGTTTTGGGGCTTTTTTTTTTTTGGTATGAAAATGTATTTCCAAGTAACGATACTCGTTCAGTACCTGACCTGAAATTTCTTTGTTCTGGAGCGTCACTTTTCATGAGCTGCTTTGGAACCAGAACCGGACAATCATCTGGGACTGAATTAGAAATACAGAATCTCAGGTCTACCCTAGGCCTTCTGAATCCAAGTCTGCTTTTTAACAAGAGTCTACAGATGATACAACAACAACAACATTAAAGCTTGAAAAGATGTGTTATAACAAAAGCTTATGTGAACTTAAAAACTTAGCTGATTTTAGCATATGTTAGCTGTTAAAAAACAGACTTTGTGTTACCTATGTATTACCAAAATTAGCATAAGTGTTTTACTTATTTATTTTTAACTATGGATGCTTAAATAAAATGGTACAACAAAGGGCAGAGAAGAGTTTTTAAATGTTGTATGCATTAAATGTGATCATTAAGAAGATAATGAAGCAGAATGGAAATGCCTGTCATAGATGTTTTATATTTTGCTCTCTTACAATTATATTTGCTTGCTATGATTTAATGTGTGTGTGTTTTTAAAACTAGTTTTATGTTAGTTCAACTTAATTTTTAAAAATTAAATTTGTTTTAATGATCTGGTGTTGCGTTATGTAATAAGCTTTTAATTTGTTAAGGCATTTCCCTTTTATTTTAGGGATCTAAGTTTAAAGCTCAATATTTAAAGACTATTTCGGGAGCAGTTTTTGTTTCTCTATATTTAGTGTATTCAGTTCTCAGTCAGAAATTGGGAGCCTGAAATCCACTCTGAGAACTGGGGTTCTTGTTAATATTAGCACAGCCATTCCGGCTCTCTCTTAGTTTAGCAAGATGCAATTAGTACTAGAGCCAGAGAATGCCATGGAGTAGTCCAGTGGACCACAAACAAGTTTTTTATTTATTTTGCAGTGTATACCAAAAATATCCAGTATAACTTTTATTTTTTCCTTGTACAAGTGAGAAAACTAAAATCAAATTTCTATTTAAAAAAAAAATGTAAATACCACAGCTGGATGCTTTCCTTTTCCTGCCTCCGACAGATAGATGAGCATGAAGGACACGGGACACAAATAAATAGACATTTCCACAATTATAGTAAATGATAAACTCATGATGTAAAAATTTAGGAGGATTCATAAATATGTATTTAAATGTGTATCTATTAAATATATACCACATATACATACTTATTTACTGTGGTTTCTCAGAAAAAAATAATACCTGTGTATCTGACTATAGCCAAAAAGAACAGAAACCTGAAGTCTAAATATTGGCATAATGTCTGTGTGATGTAAATGCCAATTTTTAGGACGAATTTAGAGAGACTTTAAAAATGTCATGCATCTGAAATTAAATGTTTGAATTTTACTTATATTCTAATTTTAAATCTTCTTGCTCTCAGTGTTATTGACGCAAATGCTAATTACAACAATCTTTCTACAGGATGAAGATTTGAAGTGGGTGGAAGAAAATATTCCCTCTTCATTCACAGATGTGTAAATATCCTCTGTTAAAGTTGGAGTCTTAATTTGGGCTGTAGTTTAAAAGACAGTTGTCATCCTTTGTCTTACCCTTTCCAAACCTCACATCGCCCTATGTCTGTAGTCCCCTATTGCCAATGATTGTCTGATTTACTTCATATGGAATGCCAAGAAAACAAAGCCCTGGTTTAGTCTCTCTTTCTCCTTCCTCTTTCACTAAATAACAGCTCTTTAAATGCCAGTGACCTAGGACCAACTCAGGGAGCTCTGGTGGCCCAGTGGTTAAGGTTCTCAGTGGCTAATTTACAAGGCCAGGTGGGAGAAAAGATCTGGTAAGGATTCCAGCCTAGGGAGCCCTGTGGGGCAGCTTTGCTCCGAATTGCTGTGAGACAGAAGCAACTCGGCACATAACAATAACAGAACTCGGGTGTTTTCTGAGATATCTAAGTTATCACATTGGTGTTATTTTGTATTAATTAGCTATTGTGGAAAAGCGCAAGCATATGTAAAACATCCTTTTTTCTGTTAATTCATAACCAAACTAACTTTGTATGGAGGGGAAACATGAGCATAGGAAGATAGGATATGCTAGGAAGCCCCTCTGCAAACTATGATTATTAAGGTGTGTCTGTGTCTGCGTTCTGTTCCATGCAAGAATTCAATACAGGTGTTGCCACAGTAGACAACAGAATAACCAAGTAGGGTGATATTTTATATATTGTTCTGTCCTTTCCCTGCACCCATCTCGTTCATATTTATACAGTTTCTATCTAGTATGGTGTGGGAGAAAAAAGAGGCTTTACAGCCTCAGAGTTAGCATTGCTTGACAATGACAGTATCTTAACCCCACTCAGGATCTCACCTTCCCACAACTACTGCCATCCTGACTTTCCCTATGGTAGATTAGTTGAGCTACTTTTTTAAAATGTTACTCTACTCTCAGTCGTTCATCATATTTTCATTGCTATATAGTATTCTATACCATAAATATATCAAAATGTACCCATTTGGGGTTCTTTTCGTTTTGAGCTAGTAAAAGCAGTGCTGCTATAAAAAGTCTTCTCCGTGTGTGTTAGTAAACATAGATACTCATGTCTGTGGGCTGTCTCCCCAGGAGTGAGTGAGGCGTGCCTGTATTCAGCTGTATGCAGAACATACTGCTATTTATTTCAACAACATTGTCAACTGGATTTTTCTCCCCCCTTTTCTTTCAGAGCTCTTCCAGTGTTAGTAGATTCAGATGAGGTAAAATATATTTTTGCTTATTTTCTTTGAGCTGTGATTTTCACAAGTCGAGCAGACTGAAAGATACTGTGGATTGATTTGTGGATAAAGTTTGGAGTAATGGTCCTTATTTGAAAAAGATTAAGATAAATGCTAGTTGGTGTGCAAGAAGGGAAGAATTATTTTATGATATGTTGATTTGATGATTTTCTAAAATATTGTAAATATATAGGTAAGAGTTTAGAAGATACTAAGATGATAATTTGTCTGTATCTCATACCTATCAATATTTTGCTGGGGTATTGAATAGTGTCCATGTAATTTTCATTCACTAAAGGAAATTTGGATCGAGGACATGTATTTCGGAAAGTATTTTGAAGAAAATAAAAGTAGCATAGGTCATATATGGAAGCAGCCTGAAGTATAAGAATTATTGAGTGTGGATGCAGAGAGCTTTCACTGCTACAACAGAAGAGTACAGGGAAGATTGTGGCAGCTGAGAGGACCGGTTTGTGCAGTGACAGCAGAATAGGAGAAGCGACAGGCCCAGTTCATTGCAAAGGAAGGCAAATAATGTGGGTGTCAGTGTGGCAGTCAGACTGAGCTGGGACGGAAAGGTTTGAGAAGGCTGTAGTAAACATTTACTTTACTACAAAACAGTTCAGGGTTTGCAGTTACAGAAAGATATACCGTGGAATTATCATTTCAAAAATAAATCCCTAGATGAGTTCTGCCTGAGAAATCCATTTCAGCATCTTTCCTGCAATGTCTCACTGAAGATTCCAATATTTTCTAACTAGCAGACAATTGACATTTTCTGCACATCTCAGATAAATAATTGACAATATATGAGGCAGTGTCAAGAAACTTGTGGAAAACTTCCATCATCTTTTAATTTAATTTTTCCATAAACTTTTTGAAGCCCCCTCATATTATTAGTGTGGAAATTACAGTTTTTATTTTCTATATCGAATACTTCAGAGTATATGGTGGAATAGTTGTTTTGCTCTCAACAAAATCATGACCTTTGAAAGATTAGAGACTTTAGTTAGAGTTCTGGAAGCAACATTCGCCTTTTGATGCGTATCTTCTTTTCTTTTTTAGGAAATCATGACCAGATCTGAAATGGCAGAAAAAATGTTCTCATCAGAAAAGATCATGTGATTGGAACCCATATAAATGAAACTTACTTAATGCTCAAGGGTTGACTTGCCTCAAGACTAAAGCAAGCATAGTTTTCATGTAGTTTAAAAAGTTTTTATTGCATTACCTTGTAAATCCATTTATTAAAATGAATTCAGGTGGTAGGTGGCTTCTGCAAACCTCTGAAACTGACTTGAGAATGTCAGCTTAATGTCCATTAAATTGCCTGGATTTGGAAATGATCTGAGAAGAGTAATATGATAAATACACCCATTCCTCACTTACCGACTGTCTCGTTATCTGGCATTTCATATTTGTGACAATAGTAAAAATCCATGATGATTTGGAGCAATCATTCGTGTGTGTCTGGTAGGAATGAACGCTGAGATTTTAGGTGAGAACATTGTCTGTAATGGCTTAAGTTGTGTGTCTACTTGGCCATGCCATGATTCTGCCAGTTAGTCATTGATGAAATTTGGTCATTATGTTATGATGATGTAATGACTGTCCCTTTTGTGATTTAATTTGCAAAATGCTAATTTTCTCATAACAACCTGGTCTTTGGAATCCAACCATGTCGGTATGTGAGGAATTGGTATATGAATAAATGCCCTTAGCTGATGGGTGGCTGGCTTGTGATTTTGGGTTCTTTCCCTTTTCTCTGGAAAGTATGACAATTACTCTTCTTTCTCTAATCTTTGTGATAACATGATTCTTCTGAGGTATGGTATAATAGTTTCACCATCTCCTGGATTTCTAGTACTAGATGCAGTAATAATTTTGACTTTTATACAGATTTAATATTAAGTAAAACTTGGTTTACCTTGGAACATAAGCATGTTTATGTGTTAAGTTTTGCTGATTTTTTGCACAAAGCCCTTGTGTGTAAATTACTGCCATGCACAATAAATCATGGAGTTAGGTCTTCTCTGTCTGAGTTCAGGAAGCACAAGGAGAGGGAAGTCTTGAGGGTCACTTCCAAAGATCTACTCTGTCATTGCCCCCTTCCTAGTACTCAGGCTTTGTGTGTTCATGTGCTGCTCCTCACCTGGCCTTGTGGTTCTCCCGGAGCACTTCCTCCCTGGTGAACAAAAGACTAGGTGTCATACCAAGATTGTGTTTCATCATTGTGTGTAGTTGTTGTTAAGTGCCACTGAGCTGGTTCTAACTCATAGCCACCCTGTACAGGAGCCACCCTGTATATGGAGTCCTGGTGTGGCACTGTGGGTTAATGCACTGGACTGCCCAGTCGGTTTGAACTGCAAGGTCCGAGGTTCAAGCTCACCAGCCACTCCTTGGAAACTCTATACAGGGTGGCTATGGGGCAGAACCACCTCAACGGCACTCAACAACAACATATGTGTATATATTTGGATATACAGTACATCACTGTTAATCCTGTAATTCTAAGCCTTCAACCATCTGCTATACTTTATTTTGTTAATATCTATGATGTGATTGAAAGTTTTGTTTTAGTATCTTTTTAAAAAATAAAAGTTGTCTGAACTTGAAAGGGACTTGAGTATATCATGAAAATGTGAATGTTTTGCTGCTTTCATGACCAAAGAAAAGGGTTAGTGGATGTGTAGAATAGGAATTAAAGTTAGTATCTTGTTTAGATTTCTTTGAAGACGTTCTAAACTGGGTGAATTGAGAATTGACTTCAGGGAATTTTGATGGAGAAAGCATTGAAAGCTTAACTAATATAAACACTTGCAGACTTTTTATTTTTCGCTATGAAGCCACAAAACATTGTTTGCTTTTTCCTTTAAAAAAACCTACCTTTGAATTTATTTCTTGTTCACTCATTTCACAAGGGTTAGTAAAGATTACTGATTTCTAGTAGTAATATTTCTTAAAAGATGTTTTCAATAGTGAACATTTGGAAAGTGAACAGTGTTTGCCGACATTACTAAAAAAGACTTGGTTTTCCAGATCGTTGCTCTGAGACAGCTTTCCTAGAAGAAGAACCTCTAACAGTTCTGGGGTCCAGTCCTTATTGTAGTGTTTGCCATAATAACTTGGCCCCACCAGCTAGTGTTCCAGCATTGATTTCCTTTCTGGTTCAGGTGGATTCTACTTTGACACAGTTCCTTTAGAACGGGAGGTAACCACTGCTTTCTCATTCATCCCATTTGTATCTCATATCCCTAACCTGTGGAGCAGATTGACCCCCCTCCACCCCAACTCATCACATGATTCTAGTTGAAATGTGTGATGCAGGATCCTGGTCTTCCAACCAGTGCTGTTGTTGTGTGAGCTTGAATCACCTCTAACCCTTAGTGACCTTGTATGACAGGAAGAACTGACCCATAGGTGTCGTAGGTGCTAATTTTTACATGAGCAGATTGTCAGATCTTCCCCCCAGTGGAGCTGCTGTGGGTTCAAACCACACTTTGAGTTAGCAGCCAAGTGCTTAACCATTGGGCCACCAGGGCTCCAGTTAGTAGGAGCTGTAAACTTACTGAGGTGTGGGGGTAGAGGGTTGGTGATGGTAAGTGTGAAAACAAGGGAAAGTTGTCTCTCATAAAAAAATGCTCCTTTTTCCTGCAGCCAGAAAGATAAAAATTCTTGTCTGTGTAACTCAGCTACAGGATGAAATGAAAAATTTTCTCTGCAGAGAAAGTGTTGTTTCTCTAAAACAGCCACATCACAGTGGTTTTAATTGCCTCAGGCATGTGCTGTGTCTGTCACGTTCATCGATGCTGATGTTTTCTGTTGCTATCTGTGAGAATTCCACCAGAGGGGCTTGCTGCTGTTAGTTGTCTTCGAGTAGATTCCAGTTCATGGCGACCTCACATGTAGAGTAGAGCTCCGGAGAGTCTCAAAGGCTGCCCCTTTCAGAAGCTGATCGCCAGACCTGTCTACCGAAGCACCTGGGTCAGCTCAAACCTCCCAACTTTTCAGCTTGTAATTGAGTAAGCATTTAACTGCTTATACCCCCCAGGGGCTCCTAGAGCCTGGGGAGATGTTACACCCAGGACCCCTGCGTGGCTCATCATTCCTAGTCACCAAAGTCCATGGAGGCCCAGATTAATTTATTCTTAGGATGCTTCAGGATGGATCCTCCTAGAAAAGACGGGATCTGAGGATGTGTTTATAGGCAAAGTGCTTGTGTATTACTATGTGGCTTATGTTAGATTTATTTGATGAGTCATTGATTAAAAGGGTATTTTCCTGATATAATTTAGATTAGTATTTAAATTATCTGCTCTAAAGGGCAGTTTATTTTGTTTACTACAAAAAATAAGGAAAAGTAGGGGAAATACGTGAATTTTGTTAAGCCTGAAAGATGGTAGGGTGTTGCCATACTTTTCCTGAAAAGAAAATTTTTTAAATCTTTCATATCCTCTAGGAAACATTACCCCTGTGATAAGTATAGTACATTATATTTGCACTACTATAATAGACAAGGTATTTTTTTAAAATACAAGTAAGGTTAATTTTTATATATTTTTTTCTTAACGGATTTGAGTCTGATAGTATATGCACTAAGCTATCTGTACATGACATTTTATAGATGGGAGATGTTATGCTAGAGTTTTAATTTACTAGTTCTGGTACTTGTGTCTGACTGACAGCATGCAATAAGCAATAAAAAACACCAAGCCTTAAGCAAAAGAAGTTTAACGTATTGGTTAAAGTTCTAAACATATCAAGTGTGCATTATAATACAGCAGCTCAATATTGCATTAAGAACTTTGTCTAAGACTAGAAAAATATTAATTAATCTGGGGAGAAACTTTAGGGGTTTAAGAAGTTGTATTTTTTTTTCTAATCAAAAGAGTTAAATTATTATATGATTTGGAAGAGTTTGGTTTCAATGTAGACTATGCTATTTGAAAGATTTTTGTTTCAAAAATAGATGTACTTTTGTGCCTTAATATTTGTTCTGACTTTTAATAAAATTTTTACTGAAATTTTGGGTGCTCGACTCATGATAATAATATTAGTGGTAGATTTTGTAAATCTACAGGAAATGTATACAGTTCTTAAAAGAGGTACAATTAATACAACCATGGAAAAGTTATCAACCTCAGTAGTGATCAGAGATGCAAAATAAAAGGGAATTTTTAAAATTAACATACATATTCTACTATGTACTTAAAAAATCTCTGCTTTCTAAAGTGTAATGAAATAAGTTAATAGCTCACCAATATACATAAATTACTGATGATAGTTGTTGTTGTTGTGTGCCGTGGAGTCAGTTCCGACTCATAGCGACCCTGTGCAGGGTTTCCGAGGATGTAAATCTTTACAGGAGCAGAATGCCTCATCTTTCCCCGTGGAACAGCTGGTAGTGGTGATAATTTAAATATTCGTGGAACAAAATTGAGCATTGTGTTTATAACCTTTAAATAGTGTCAATTCTGGTGATGTTTTTAAAAACTGATTGAAAATACAGAGTAAGGATTCTGCATACACACAGAACTGTTAGAGTGTTGTTTAAAGTCAAAGCAAAGGTGAAACAAACTAAAGCTAAGTATCAGCAACAGAATGGTTAAATGAATTATGGTTTAGCCTGCTACTTTATGGATTATTATGCAGAATAGTTAAATGAATTATGGTTTAGCCTGCTACTTTATGGATTATTATGCAGCCATGAAGGAACCCTGGTGGCACAGCGATTAAGTGCTCAGCTGCTAACTGAAAGGTTAGCAAAAGGGAGAAGACTGTTGTAGTCTGATTCCATAAAGATTTATAACCTTGGAAACCCTCTGGGGCAATTTTACTAACAACAGGAACAACAGGGTCACTGTGAATCAGAATTGACTTTGACAGTACGTTTGGGTCTTTTGAGTTCAGCCATTAAATTATGAGCAGTTTATCCTGAAAAACCACACTTGCTATCAGAAAATGCCTCACATGGTGAGTGTTCATCATGTAAAGAAACAGAAAGAATTGAGTAGGGATGCACGAAGATGGCATTTGTGATATTTGGATTAATAAGCTAGGCTATAGTCACAACTTTATCCAAAATTTCAGTTGATTCTTCATCATGTAACTTCTGGGGTGCATGT